TCATATTTTCCGCAAAGCCTCTTATTTTATTACATAAAAATGCAGGGCTCAGTATGGTGATAAAAGTGTGTAATTAAAATATATTTCTCAAGATACTTCTCTGTATATCTGCAAAGTATTGTAAGTGTTCGCGAAAATACATATGTATTTAATTAATCACATATACATACACATATATTTCGAATTGTGTATTAATTTTCTAATGAAGGAATTTAATTAGGAATTAAATATTGTGAGTATGGCAAATGATATTATACCTATTTTTTACACTATATATTTTAGAGCTGGAATTAAAGTGGAGTTACATTTTTGATTTAATAGATACATTTGTTTTCTCTATTTAAAGAAATTGTTTCAATTTGTAGTATAGCTTGTATGTATATATAATTATCGAGAATAGATACATAAATGAAATCCATGTACTAATATAAGAAAATTAATTTATATTATAATATACATTTAAATTTTATTTACATGAAGTACAAATATCTTTAATGTATTATTATTGTCATTTAAATTCTAAAAACGAATATAATTTAACAGCATAGGATGAATAATAGGTCATAGGACGAATAATAGATTTGAGAACAATAGATAATCTCGTCGATTATGGATATAAATTGACACTTTGTTTGTTATATTGACTCAATCATAAATAATTATAATTATAATATTGTATTCGTTTTATCAGTTGTAAGATATATCTATGAAAAGAGATTACGGAATTGTTATTTACCTTGAGAATTGATGATGATTTCGTTTACAGTTCATCAATGAATATAATTTTATACGAACATTGTATGACATACAAATGTATATCAGCAAAATCGTAATTCTGAACTCGAAAATATGTATCGACATATAATATGTAAATATACTTGTGCATAATATCATAAGATACAAGAATATAACAAATAATACTTAGATTGTTGGATATTATAAAAGTCATTATAATTTACTTCTTAACTTCTTTATCGTGTAGAAAGATAATTAAATTCTAATTACTGAATATATAATCGAACGTTTCGCGATAAACTAATATACCTATAATTAATAGCATTCATTAGCCATTCATTATTCAGCGAGAAACGACTGTTAATTAGATGTCAAATTGACATCGAATTAATTTCGAAATCATCTTATCGATGTCGATTCGAAATCGATTTGATGATCGTTTTTCGCTAAATCATTGTTGTTTATTAGTAAACATGAAGTCGTTTATTATGACGCACATTATTTTCTGCTTTTTGTGTGTGTGTATGTGTGTGTGTGTGTATGTGTGTGTGTGTGTGTGTGCGTGCGTGCGCGCGCGTGAATGCTTTATTTTAAATATTATTTTACTTGCAATGATCAGAATCTTTTACTACTTTTTAATACATTATCATATTTTTCATCAAATAAAATGTTTGTATGTTGTATGTTTTTTCATATAATCGGCATTTAATCGCTAGATTATATTTCCTGTTTATGAAAAATTTGTCTTATTATATTATGTAAAAATATAAGATAATGTAACAAAAGAAGTAACGCATAACATATCTAAATATTTTTTATCTTAATTCTGTTTATACTCGCTTACATAAGTATGATAAATAAATTAGAAAAGTGTCAATTATTTTTAGAGCGCTCGCAAAGAATGTAACGTACAAAAACAACTTAAAATTTTTATATTCATCCGATTCAAAATTTATGCTATATGTAATATATTGCCCATACAGTTGATATATGTATAATTATCATGTACACTTGTGGTCGGCACTCATTAATTTATTGTTAGAAAATATCTGAATATTTTATACATTGCTCTTATCGTTATATTATCTCGTATTTTACAATTTTTGCTTGCACATTAAAACGCATTATTGGATGTATCATGTATTACATGTATATATTTAGTGCGTGCGTGCGTGCATGTGTGTGTCTATCTGCGTGTACTAATATTCGAATAATTGTAAGGAACAAGATCGGAAGTAAATACGTAAGTAAAAGTTATAAGATTTAAAGTCGCTATAATTTATCAAAAACTACATCATATTCAAACACATTTTTGGTTATTTATTATACTTTACTTTTGTAAAACGTTAAATGCTGAATATGACGTTTTCAAGATCTGAAAGAAAAATAGAAAAAACATTGACATATATGGAAGATTATGCATTTATTATATAAAAATTCCGATTGTATTTTCGTACATACACAACAAATATTCTTAATATTAAATAGCAAATCTTCATATATTTGACATATTATGTCAAATATTTATTTTGACACCAAACGATACTAACGTTACTGTAAGACTGAAGAGATAGAGTTATCAAGAAGCTGCTAGTGAACTTTACAGGAATTGTGCTACGTATCATGATCATCAACAATCCTTTTTTTTCGTTGATCGATAGTAATGGCCAATTCATACGATATATAGCATCCGCTATACTCATACTCTATTAACATAATATAAATAGAGTTATTATTACATATTAATATCGAACAATTATAATATTATTATAGTCTTATACACGCTCATGTATACATTACATATATTTTTATTGTATTCAAGTATAAAATAGTTCAAATAATTTGTTAGATTATTTTGCAAACTCTTGTAAAAAAAATAGGTTGTTATCAAAAATACCCGCCATTTTCCATTAATTTAAAAAATCGGGGTTAGATATTTATCTATTTCAAATGAATTATAGCGTACATGATAGTTACTTTAAGCATGACTTCGTTTCCGGACCAGCAGTAAACGAAGATTTGTACAAACATGCAGATGGTATATACTAATAAGGATGCAGCTGCAGACAGTTCCTTGATATGCATTGACAAATAATACACACTCGTACATAATACCAAAATACTACTAAAAAACTGAACGAAAAGTACTTGGTTGAATATGATGTTTACCGTTTTGGCGTATCTGTAATGGTTTCGTGTTAATCATTTCAGATGAATGAAACAATTGCAATTTTGATGTATAATTTTATAATATTCTTAATTAACAATTAATATGAAAATTTTAGATATGTATTGATATGAGCTGACAGTTTTTGAAATACTCAGGGAAAAATGTTTCTTACATATTTTATGTTTTTTTATCATAATTAATTCTTAATGTAATATCTTAGGACCTATGTTTATATAAAAATTTTGTCTTATTTTAGGTTACAGAAGGTACTGTAAAAAAAAAGTTTGTACATAAGAAAATCCAAGGTCACTTTATATAATCACCTTGAAAATATTTTGTATTCACTTTTTGTAACAATTATTTTGTAACAATTTTTTTTATAACAATCCATTTATAATTTCAAATAGGAATACTCGAATTATCTTTTGATTTTGACCAATTTTCCATAAATATTAACAATTTATTTTAATAAATAATAGCTATTTAGTCTTACATATTCACACACACACACACACACACACACACACACACACATACACGCGCGCGCGCGCGCGCATATGTAATGCACATATACGTATATAAAGAGTAAACTGAATTATGCATAAAGACGGATTCTTACGTGACTTACTTGTAAATGCTGAGATGATGACGTATACATTCCGATATCCATGTTTTGTCTTCATTCGACAAAGAGCGTGCATGTCCGAGATATGTAACTGTCTTTTTAATTATAAACTTGTGAAGACGACTTTTGAAAATTTCAAGTTGAGCACATGTTTGTAAAATCAGTCCGAAGACTAAGGTTTCCGTGCCAACATTTATTATCGTGGCAAAAATTATAGTTAAGATCTGATGAACGGATATAATCCAAAACGTAATTACATTGTAATTACATGGCAGCCATATTCGATAAGGCAGATGACCTTGCATAACGTTTAATACTGATCCTATTGTAGTGCCTGTAACGGAACTTGTTGCTAAAAGTGAATATTTTATCGAGCATGATCTGCAAACGTAGAACCGAGATGAAATTTTATATAAACTTCTATTAGCATTTATTTATATTAGGTGCGCAACTTAATTCTCGGCCTTTTTCATTGATACTAATTTATAAAAAGTCGAATAGTTACCTAATCTTCAAAATAATTTCCCTCGTTTTTTAAACATTTGCGCCATTTTTCGGGCAGCTGCCGAATTCCACTTCGGAAAAAAGAGGATTGTTTTGAATTTATAAATTCGACCATATTTTTCTCGACATCCTTGACATAAGTGAAATGAGTATCAGTCAGATGATTGCAAGGATCTAAAAAGGTGATAATCTGAAGGGACGAAGTCTGAAGATACGCCGGGTGCGATAAAATTTCCCAGCTCAAGTCGATGATCGTTTTCAAAGTTGTTTTTGCTGTGTGTAACCACGCGTTATCCTGAAGCAAGATAATCTTCCTTCTTCCCTTGTCGGTGTAAAGCCTTTTCTCTTCCAATGTGTCACTAAAACGAATCAGTTGCTGCTGATAACGTTGAGCAGTGACCGTTTCACCAGGTTGGAGCAATTCGTAATGAATGACGCCTTGCTGATCCCACCATATACACAACACCTTCTTAGTGTGGATATTCGGTTTTGCAGTACTATTCGAAAGTTGTCCCAGATAAACCCATGATTTTCGTAGAAGATCCATTTTTCATCACAGGTCACAATCTTGCGCAGAAAATTATTCTTTCTTTTTGAATTGGGATAGCAACAATAATATCATAGCGTCTACGCTTGTTCTCAGCTGTGAATTCGTGGGAAACCCAATGGCCCTCCTTTTGAATCCTCCCCAGCTTATGTAAACGCTTAGAAATGGCTTGCCTTGTTACTCCGAGTTCCTATGCGAGCGCTGACTGTATGCGACAAGAATTCTCTTCTAAAAGTTCCAATTCCTCATGACTTTCTTTGGTTGTCCCGGACGTTTTTCATTATTAAGGTCGAAACTTTCCATTCTTAAACCGCTGGAACCACTTTTTACAGGTACTGTAAGAAACAGCATCCTTTCCCAAAGCCGAACAAATCATTTCCTGTGCTTCAGCAGCACTTTTTTTTAATTGAAAAGCGAAAAGAAGGCAATGCCTCAAATGCTCCTTCTCGAGCGACATTGTTTTTAACATTTTTCTTTTTAAGTCAGATAATACAACCGCCAATAATTACAGTGCGTTTGAAAGCTTAAAGCTTGGCACTCCAATATGACTATATGGCGGGAAAGATATGTAAATTTGAATAGGTACTCATCGATTGAAGTTAGGAACCGAGAATTAAGTTGTGCACCTAATACTTTTAATTTAATGAAATTTATAATCATAATATTTATAATTATTGTATTATATTTAATTATTTCGTATATGTGTTTTGCAAATTATTACTATAATTTAAAATGATATTGGAATAGAAAACTTCTTCAACTAAAAGTTTATTAATTAAACAGAGAATAGAAAATTACTACATTTTTATGTAAAAATATAAGTATGCTCTAAAATATATGGTCAACAAAATATAGTAAAAGCTAAAGGACTCATAATTTGTTATAGAAACAAGTGCTGATAAAATTTGTACGATTTAGTATGTGCTGAATTGAATTATTGCATAAATATTTTAAGTTATAATAATATTTTAATATTGAGATGTTTTAAGAAAGATATGAACTCACCTAATGAATTTATCAAATTTTGTTTGTATAGCTACTTCATCCTCATCTCGAGGTTTATATGGTGCTTTCAATAATATTTGCACTAAGTTGATGATCGCATTTCGACGTACCACAATGACAGTCGCTTTACAACATACGGCAACAATAGTTAGGAACATTAGAGTATTAGTAGCAAAATCATCGATATTGTCGACAATAAGAACTATATCCATAAATTGAGTTAACACCAAAAAGTATTCCGAAGATATTATAATAAAGGTAAATACATTGTACAGCAGCTTGGCACCATTTGATGACCACTCAACTGGTCGCCATATACCGCCAACGGTGTATATAAAAAAATTTAAAGAAAGCATTTGCATATTGCTCGCTTTCTTTTCAAACAATTTATCGAAATATTGTACAAAAGTATAGCTTCTTTCTATCTATAAAATATCTAAAAAAGTGATTTAAAACATTGCGAAAATTATCTTTTCTGAAATTTCTGAAATATACTAATAATTAAATTTGAGTATACCATGTTTAAAAAAAATTGAATTTAATATAGAAGGTTGTATAATATTTTATGAAGTAAATTATTTACTTTTTAGTGAACTTAGGCTTTTTTAGTGAACATAAAATACTACAAATTAATATTTAAATCTCACACTGAATGCCGAATGCAACTGTCCGATTGGAATAAATTTTATTTATTTGATGTACATATTGCATATAATTGCTCGCGCAGATTGCGAATCGGATGACTTTATTTAACTATAATACTGCGTATGATTTGTGTGAACCCAACTACAAAAATGGTATTTATGAATATTTATTGCGCACCTGTTTTGGAAAATATCACTTCTTAGAATTTTAGTTAGTGATAATAGAAATGACAAATACTAACACTGATATAATATGTTATTTTATTATTGTATCAGTAAATTTCATTTAAATGTAATCGAACATGTCCTGCGATAGACTATGTATAGTTTACATTCTTCAACATCTTGTCAACCCTAGTACTATCAATTACGGTCATTAAAAAATCGACATTGTTGTCATTTAATCATTTATTATGAAATGCATGTTCTTTTCCGCACTCATGAATAGTGTAGTAACTCTAATTGTAAAAGTTTTCCTACTTGCAACCATCGAGGGATATTGCGGTCCTTTACAGTCACGCATATTACTGCGTTTCTGTTGAATAAAATTTTCATGTCCATTGGAATTATAAGGAATATCGTATTTCCCGCAAAGTCTCTCATTTATTATATAAAAATACAAACCTCTGGTGTAGCGATAAAAGTGATGTGTAATAAACTTAGGATATATTCTTCAAATTACTTATCTGTATATCTACAAAGTATGATAAATGTGCAGGAAAATATGTATCCGTATATCTCATACGCAACATTTTACATAGATTGAGACATTATTTTTTCTAATTTCTTGTTGAAACCAGCATTAATGTTGCTTATAAATCAAATATATCGCACAGTATTTTTTGTCATTACACTGTCTATATTGTGTTTGTATATTGTTAACAATCAAAATGAATATTAAGGTTGTAATAAATACATAAACAGAAATTTTTAAATTTAGTGTCATTAATTTGCGAAAAACTACATAATTAATATACTCAAGTAAGCTCTAAGTTATATTATTTATATTTTGTTTTTGAAGTACGTTAAATGCGGAGTATGATGTTTTTAAAATCTGAAAAAAATGAGAGAAGATATATTAATATAAACTATTAAACACTTGCTAGATACACCGGTTGTTTTCGGACGTATGCAACAAATATTAAGTTCTCCAACATTAAACGCAAAACATTATATGATATATGTAATATTTGTCCAGTCATTTAAGATCTTAGTAATAATATTACTAACGTTGCTGTAAGATTGAATAGATAAAGTTATCATAAAGCTGCTAGTGAATTTAATAGGAATTGTGCTACGTATCATAATCATCAGCAATTCTTTCTTTTCGGTAATTGATAATAGTGGCCAATCCATACAATATATAGTCTCTCCTATGCTCATACTCTGCCAACATAATATATATTATTGCTGTATAATAATATCATATAACTTTATCAATTATTAGTTTTGTATTATGTATGTACATGTCAAATAATACAAGATGAGCACACATATAAATGAATTTGTCTTTTAGTATATAAAGTAATCCTTTATTTACTAAAAAAGTTAAATTATCTCACTCGTATTCAGTAATAATAGGAATATATTCGCTGTTTTTTATCATTTTTAGTAAGGTACATATATCTGATGAAGGCTGAAATAGAGTAAGTTACCTTAAGCATAACTTCGTTTCCGGACCAGCAGTAAACGTAAATTTGTACAAACATGCAAATGATATATACTAATAAAGTTCCAATTTCAGACAGTTCCGTAATATGCGTTGATAGGTAATATATACATGTACATAATATCAATATACTACCGAAAAATTGAACAAACAGTACCTGATTAAATATAACGTTTACCGTTTTGGCATATCTGTAATAGTTTCATGTTAGTTTTGTGATGCAATAAATTACTATCCTTATACATAATTGAATAACATAATTTATACAATTTTTAAACTTATAGAAAAATTATGTGTGTAGTACTTATTAAAATAAAAACTTTTTTGTTTTAAGCAAGTACATGTAATATCTATGAAATTATTTACTACGGCGTAATAATAAACATATAGAGGGTGTCCCAGAATGACCGCTAAATATTTCATACGCAGATAGAGTGTACTAAACTAAGTCAAAAAGTCCTCTACCATTTTGCAATTTTTACAATAGTTAACAAGATATTACTAAAAATCGCCAAATATTGACTTTGATAATTTTTTATTCAAATACTATCAATTTTACAGATAAACAGCAAGAGACAAAAATTGTTTATTTTTATAAGTTTTTTAGTACCGCATTTTCTCACGTGGTAAAAATAGTTGCCAATAAAAAAATGCAATATTAAAAAATTGATAAAAAATTCTGAAAAAATTTTCAGAATTCTATGAGAAGAAAATAAACAATTTTTGTCTCTTGCTGTAAAGTTGATAGTATTTGAGTGAAAAGTTATTGAAAATCAATATTTGGCGATTTTTAGTAATTAATATTTTGTTAACTGCTATGAAAATAGTAGAGGACTTTTCGAATCAGATTAGTCCGCTGTATCTGCACACAAAATATATGGCGGTCATTTTGGAACACTCCGTATACGTATAATATATACATCTATGTAATAGTAAATAGAACGATAAAATCACACATTGATGTTTTCTTATCGAGTTTGTAATGGTTACTTATTATTTCCAAATAGCATCAATTATCTATAATTACTGTCATTAGCTTTAAACAATTTTTTATAAAAAATATTAATAAGTATTGTTATAATCAATTGCAATTTTTAGAAACACAACAATTAAACAATATATAAATACTTTTACATAGTTAAATACATATATAAAAAAACGTTGTATAAAAATGGATTCTCAATTAGCGACTTACTTGTAAATATCGAGATGATGTCGTATGCATTTCGATATTTCTGTTTTGTCTTCATTCAACGAGCACAATGCGTTTTCCAGATATTTAACTGTTTTATAATTTATTAATTTGTGAAGACGATTTTCGAAAATTTCGAGTTGAGCACATGTTTCTAAAATTAATCCAAAGATTAGGGTTTCCGTACCGACATTTATGATAGTGCCAGCAATTATAGCTATAACTTGTTGAATAGATATAATCCAGAACATTAGAGACACATTGTAATCCAATGGCAACCATATTCGACAAGGTAGTTGTCCCTGCATAATATTTAATACTGATCCTATTATGACGCCTGTAAGTGAGATTATTGCCAGAAGCAAATATTTCATTGAACATAATCTGTAAAGTAGAATTGAAATTATATTTTATTAATTTTCATGCTTCCATGATAGTCAAAGTTAACTTATATTTTCCAATTTGACAAATTTATAATAATGCTATTTAAATATAATTGCATGTATATTATATATATGTATATATAAATCCCCGTCTTTCTCCCTCCTCTCTCTCTCTCTCTCTCTCTCTCTCTCTCTCTCTCTCTCCCTCTTTCCTCCGTGCGTGTACATGCGCGTGTATGTGTGTGTAATGTATGTATTGCGCGCATGTTTTAGAAGCAAAATAATATTTAAGAATTTACGTTACAAGAAGTTATTAATTAGTTTAAGTAAAATGCAAAAAATTAAATGTATTAAAATATTAATATTTAAAATATTAAATGGATAAAAATAGCGTTGAATTGTAAAATTTTAAGTGGTAAAATTTTAAATTGGTAATACTTATCAATGCTGATTGAATTCGAAAGAAGAAATGATACGTATCAATTGTACATGAATTAAATTATTGCGTATATATATTATCTATGCGATTTCATTAAAGCTTCACCTTAAGATTATCCTAATAATGTATGGTACCTACCTGATGAACTTATCAAATTTTGTTTGTATTGCTATTTCGTCCTCATCTTGAGGCTGACATGGACCCTTCAACAATACTTGTATCAAGCTAATTATCGCATTGCGACGTATTACAACAACAGTCGCTTTACATACGACAGCAGCAACACTCACGAACATTATAGAATTAGCAACGAAATCATCAACATTATCGATAACAAATAGAAAATCGAGGAATTGAGTTAACATCAAAAAATATTCCAAGAATAATATAATATAAGTAAATACATTATACAGAAAATTGGCACCATTTGATGACCATTCGATCGGTCGCCATATACCACAAATAGTATACATAAAAAAATTTAAAGAAAACATTTGCATGTTTGAAATTCCTTTTTTAAAGTTCCTTTCAATTTATCAGTTTTGTTTAAAAGATCAGTCTTTTTTACATGTAAAACATCTAAAAAAGTAGCATTAAAATATTGCGAAAAAAATGTCTTTTTTTAAATATTCTTATTGCATCTGGCTATACATATACGTGTATATAAAATATAATTACATCAGTAAAAATTGAATTTAATATAAACAGCTGTATAATAGTTTATGAAATGAATTTCGCAATTAACAAATTCTATAAACTAATATTTAAATCGTACATTGAATACTAAATGTGATTAATTGCGAGAGACAAATTATATTTATCTAACACATAGATCCCGTACAACATGTAATCTCGAGCTGAGAATCACATGATCTTATTTAATTCTAATGCAATGTATATGATTTGTATGAATACATTTAAGTTGCAATATTTGCAAGAATTTATCGCGCACTTTTTTGGACCTATTGCTTCTTAAAATTTCGGCTAATAGTACAGAATTACTAAATGCCAACAATGCTAACAATGATATAATAATGTTTTATTATTATGGAATTCAATAAAATTCAGTTCATTGTAACCGAACACGTCTTGTGACAGACTGCGTACAGTATTTCATACTTCAACGTCTTAACCCTAGTACCTTAATAACAGTTATTAAATAATCGACATGAAGTCGATTAGACATTTATTACAGTGGATGTGCGTTCTTTTCCGCTTCTAAGCGAATACTATAATTGTGAAAGTTTTTCTACTTGTAAACATCGAGGGATGTCGTTTCTTATAATAATACACTTTGTCATATTCCCATTGAATAAAATATTTTCAATGATTATCAGTATTAAATAGAAGACTGTATTTCTCATAAAGTCTTTCTTTACAATGCGTAAAATACGAGATAATATAACGATAAGAGCAATGTATAAAATATTCAGATATTTTCTAACAATAAGTTAACTGTCAGTATGAGTACCGACTACAAGTGTACACAATAATTATATGTATCAACTGTATGTGCAATATTATCACATGTGGCGTAAACTGATCTCAGAAATTTTTTTTTTTATTCTATGCTGAAACCAAAATTAGTGCTACTTGTGTATGAAATTAAAAAACATGCATTTCATTACATTGTGTAAAACGTATATACATGTGTCTGTTTGCTCCACTGTTCTTACAATCAAAGTAATTTTAGAACAAAGAATAAGGTTGAAATAAATACGTAATAAGAAGTTTTAGTGTTACTAATAACTTTATGAAAAACTACATAATTATGTCTAAGTACACTTTAGTTATTTATATTTTATTTTTGAAGTACATTAAATGCCGAGTATGACGTTTTTAAGATCTGAAAAAAGATAAATTATAAAAAACGTTAATATGTATAATATTATATAGTTATTAAAAAATTCGCTTATTTTGCGACTTGCGCCACAAACATTAATAACATTGCATAAAAATTTTATCACTAAAGTACTTATACATATCACAACAATACTACTAACATTGCTGTAAGACTGAAGGGATAGAGTTATCAAGAAGCTGCTAGTGAACTTTATAGGAATTGTACTTCGTATCATAACCATGAGCAATTCTTTTTTTTCGTTAACTGATAGTAATGGCCAGTCCATACAATATATAGCGTCTCCTACGCTCATACTCTGCCAATGTATATATACATATGCATATATATATATGTATATGCATATGTATATATATGTATATGTATATATATGTATATGTATATATATGTATATGTATATATATGTATATGTATATATACACACACAACATAAATGAAAATATCACTTTGCAATAATATTGATTCTATTAATATTTATCAATAATACTAGTATTATGTGCATGTTAAAAATATTCTTAAATTTTATTAACTTTTGATGTATACTCGGGAAAAAAAGATATATACATAGACATATTTTATATATATATAATTTTATATAATTTAATATAATTATATATAATTATATATGAAACATTTTTTCCCGTGTATTAATGAATATCGATAGTTACCTTAAGAATGACTTCGTTTCCGGACCAACAATAAATATAGATTTGTACAAACATGCCAACGGTGTACACTAAAAAAGTTGCAGTACCAGACAATTCTGTAATATGTATTGACAGATAATACACGCTTGTACATAATACCAGTATGCTTGCAAAGAATTGAACGAAAAGCACCTGGTTAAATATAACGTTTACCGTTTTGGCATATCTATAATTGTTTCATGTTAGTTTTGCATTGCTGTATGAATAAGGTAGTTATACTAGCTTCATACTTTTTAACATGATTCCTATACAAATCCAAAAATTGTAAAAAAGAAAATTTTATCGTATATTATTTTATGTATATTATTTACTAGAACAAAAGTTATTTAATTCTCTTGTGCTATTATTCAGACATAATTTTTTATTCTACGCAATTTGACACAGAATTATCATAAAGTAACATTGAGAGTACTCCGTTTTCGAGATCATACTAGTTGTCTATTAATTTCAACGTTAGTTATTTATAATGTTTTTTAAATTAGAACATCTCTTCGACATAAACGTCAATGATTATCGTTTTATTAAACAATAATGATTTTTAAATATAAAAAATAAATAACATTTACGCATGCAATCACACGCTCACATACATAAAGAGGCATATAAATAAAGAGGCATTTGAACATATGCATAAAAATTTTTACGTAACTTACTTGTAAATGCTGAGATGATGACGTATGCATTCTGATATCCCTGTTTTGTTTTTATTAGACGGAGAGAATGTATTTTCCAGATACCTAATTGTTCTATTAATCATTAATTTGTGAACACGACTTTCGAAAATTTTAAGCTGGGCACACGTATGTAAAATCAATCCAAAAACTAATGTATCCGTGCCAATATTTATCATAGCGGAAAAAATTACAGTTATGATTTGATGAACAGATGTAGCCCAAAACATCGTAGATACATTGTAATTATATGGCAGCCATATTCGATAGGGCAGATGACCTTGCATAATGTTTAATACTGATCCTATTGTAGTGCCTGTAACGGAACTTGTTGCTAAAAGTGAATATTTTATTGAACACGATCTGTAATTATAAAATCAAAATTATTTTTCATATTTTATATATTTACAACTTGGATTTACAATACTCTTTCTTTTAATTTGCATAAGTTTACAATGACAGAATGTAATTATTATTGTGTGCATATTTGTGCGTACGTTATTTTAAAATATTTGGAGAATATTCACTTTAAGAATTAATCTCTGAATTAAACAAAATATAACATCACATTTCTAAATATAGCAATGATAACTGTAAGATGTAACGTCAAAATTCAATAAGTAGAACTTTATGGTGAAATAAAATTCTCATATTCACCAATACTAATTGAATCTTTTGGTGAAGGATCAAACATGTCATACATTTCATATATAATAATACGTAAATTAAATTCTTGTAATGAATTCTTGTAATTTTTGTTCGAGTTTTACTATAGAATCTTCTTAATAATGTGCTTATAACAATGTTATCGCGCTACATGCTATAATTTACGTCACGCATACTGTAGAGTTTTAGAGATAAAAGTGCGCTTTTATTGATAAAAGCGCGATCTGAATACAGATTTATATGTATTTACCTGATAAACATATCATATTTTGTTTGTATCGCCACTTCGTCCTCGTCACAAGGTTTACATGGTGTTTTCATCAATACTTGCACCAAGTTCGTGATTGCATTTCGACGTACCACAATAACAGTCGCTTTACAACATACAGCAACAATAGTTAGGAACATTAGAGTATTAGTGGCAAAATCGTCGATATTATCGACAATAAGAACTATATCCATAAATTGAGTTAACACCAAAAAGTATTCCGAGAATATTACAATAAAGGTAAATATGTTATACATCAGTTTTGCACCGTTTGATGACCACTCATTAGGTCGCCATATCCCACAAAAACTATGTATTAAAAAATTTAGAGAAAGTATTTGCATATTTGAACCTCTTCTTTTATGTGTAACTTATCGATGAGCACAAAAATATGGATTCTTTCTGTATGTAAAATATCTAAAAAAGTCGTTCAACCACTGCGAAAAATATTTTTTTTTAATTGCTAAATTAAATATCCGCGCGATGAAATATACACGTGTACGATGATCATAAGACAAATTAAATTTAAAAGCAATAATATAATATTTTATGAAATGAATTTATGTATGATAATTAATTTTCACAAACCGTTTAAATCATTTAATACTGAATGTAAACGTCTTCGGTAAGTTTTATTTACTTAACGCATCGTGTTACAATGTCATTTTGTATATAATATTATCTCGAATTATGGATCTCATTTAACTGTAATGCATCATCATATGAATAAACTAGAAAGTATTATGAACATTTATCGCGCACCTGTTTTGAAACTTTCTCGCTTTTCACAATTCTGGCTACTAATACAATAGAATTAACAAATGTTCCAGACAAATATTGCATAAAGTACATTCACTGTTGTGATGATCAATAATATTCATTTAAATGTAACCGAGCACGTCTTGCGATAGACTATGTATAGTTTTACGTATTTCAACTTCTTCACCCTAGTACCATTAATAACAGTCATTAAAAAATCGACATAAAGTCAATTAGACATTTATTACAGAATGTACGTCTTTTCCGCTTATGAGTGAGTAATATAATTGTAGAAGTTTTCCTACTTGCAACCATCGAGGGACATTGTTCTTTAACCATGCAGTTACGTTCCCATCGAATAAAATATTTGTATATCTTCATGTTCATCAGATCTGAGAAGATCGTATGCCTTATAAAGGCTTACTTTATTTATATGAAGTAAGAAATAATATGCGATATCGGCATTGTATATCTTCAATCCTTTGAAGACCGAAGCTTTCTAATAAAATAAAAATCTTATTAAAAAATTTCATTTTTTAAGAATTTTTAAGCTGAATTCGATTCTGGCAACAGAATTCTAAAATTTAAATTTCAAAAAAGTAATTTCATTATTGTTAAACTTGGTTTTAAAATATTTTTCTTGATATCACTGAATTTGAGTGCAGTCTGAAAATGTTGATTTTCGTAGGGATAGTAACTTGTATGAAGGAGACTCTAAGGTCAGTATTCATTGTCCATTTTTATTTTAAGATCGTCTTAAGTAATTAATCTTTTTAAGATGCTAATATATGATCCTCTGATTTATTCGTGACATCTTAAAACGGTCTTGAATATAAGAATCAACTATGAATACTTTTCTGTGACTCATAATAAAAGTTTGAAAGTTTGTAGCTCAGAATCAGTACTATCTGTTTGCGTATATACTGACGAGCTTCAAATGAAGCGAAATTGATGTTACTTATTGCAATAAAAAGTTTTCTAAATTTTATGTTGATTAAATTATTAAAAAAATTCTGTTTGGCGCATTGAATTCATTTTGAATTCTTTTTAAATCTTATATTTGAATAAAACATATTAAATTATTCTATAAGTCGAATTTTAAAAATTGAACGAGCAGTTACAAAATAAAGAAGAATGAGTTCGCTGATCCATGAAAGGTTTGAAAGGACTACTATATTTTCTAAATTAACTTATTCGAACATATGCTGATTACAGCAAAAGTATGCGATAACTATTATACCAAACCTATGCCTAACATATCGTATATGGCATAGATTGGGCAATGTCTTTTTCTTGACTCTATGTTCAAATCAAAATTAGTGTCAGAATTAAAACATTTCACTGTGTAAAGTACATGTACTCAATATGCGTACATCGAATGTTTTAGAGTTGTTACGAAGTGTAAGGTTGAAATAAATAAACAGAAATTTTTAAATTTTACTAATTTATGAAAAACTACATAATTATCATTTCCTAGAAAACTTTTAATTATTTATATTTCACTTCTGAAGTATGTTAAATGCCGAGTATGACAGTTTTAATATCTGAAACGAAAATTAGAGAAAATATTTATATAGATTATTGCTGTTATTGTGCTACAATTATTAAAAATTTCTACAGTGCAGTTTTGTGCACTGTGTATACTTTATAAGTAAATGCGTATGTGTTATTGCTAATATCGCATACAGATATCTATTTTGTTAACAAAGTACTCATAATACCACAGTATTACTGACACTGCTATAAGATTGAAGGGAGACGGTTATCAAGAAGCTGCTTGTGAACTTTATAGGAATTGTGCTCCGTACCATGACCATGAGTAATTGTTTCTTTTCGTTAACTGATAATAGTGGCCAATCCATACAATATACAGCGTCTCCTACACTCATACTCTGTTAACGTAACATAAATGAAATAATTATTTCGCAATGAATATCAATATTTATCAACATTATTAGTATTATATGTATAAATATTTGCATATACCTATAATTTGTATTTACGTTACGGACAAAGTCCGCAAGTTGACAATGCTGACATTATACAGTAGGCAACTCGTACAACGTCAACACTACGCACTATACGGACTTTACCTGTAACATATGCACCTATATAGACTAGTTCCAAATCTATCAAGTAAGCCACCAGAATTATTATCTTTTGAAATTTTGTAACAAATTGAGATGTAAAATATTCACGACAGTTTTGCGACAGTTTTCTTTATGTCATTAACAATAAGATATAATTGTAGGATATTATTACCTTAAGAATGACTTCGTTTCCGGACCAGCAATAAATATAAATTTGTACAAACATACCAATAGTGTATACTAAAAAAGGTAGAATACCAGAGAAATTTCTAATATGTATTGATAAATAATACACGCTTGTACATAATACCAGTATGCTTGCAAAGAATTGAACGAAGAGCACCTGGTTGAATATAACATTTACCGTTTTGGCGTATCTATTAATTGTTTCATGTTAGTTTTATTAATTGTCTCATTAATTGCTGTATGATAAAGATAATTATACTATCTCGACATATAATTTTATAACATAATTCCCATACAAATTTAAAAATTGTAAAAAAGATTTTAACATGTATCGTTTACTAGAAGCTATATTTGTCTTGAGCAATCATTTAGACATAATTTATAATTTCGCGCAACTTGACACAGAATCATCATTTAATAAAATAATGTGTAAATTGAGAGTGCTCCGTTTCCGAGGTCATATTAGTTGTTTAATAATTTCAAGTAATGTTGGTTACTTACATTTTTTTTAGTTTAAACATCTTTTCGTCATAAATCGTCAACGATTACCATTATATTAGACAATAACGATTTTTAGATATTTAAATACGAAAAATAAATAACGTATATGCATGCAATCACATGCGCACATATATATATAAAGAGGCATTTGAACATATGCATAGAAATTCTTACTTGTAAATGCTGAGATGATGGCGTATGCATTCCGATATCTCTGTTTTATCCTTATTCAACGAAGAGACTGCATTTCCCAGATAGTTAATTGTTTTATAAATCACTAATTTGTGAAGACGACTTTCGAAAATTTCGAACTGGGCACACGTATGTAAAAACAATCCAAAGACTAAAATATCCGTGCTGACATTTATCATAGTGGCAAAAATTAAAGTTATAATCTGGTGGATGGATATAGTCCAAAATGCCAAGGGTATAGTGTAATTAAATGGCAACCATATTCGATAAGGAAGATAACCTTGCATAATATTCACTACTGATCCTATTGTAACGCCTGTAAGAGAGCTCATCGACAAAAGCATGTATTTTATCAAACATGATCTGTAAATATAGAAACAAAATTTCGTAAACTTTTGTATAGTTACGATTAAGATTAAAATTCATTTATATTTTTAATTTGAATAAATATATAATGACAATTTATTTTCTATGCGTATGTAAATGTGTGCGTGTTTTAAAATAATATTTGGAGAAGTATAAAAAGTTTTTCTTAATTAAGCAAAATGTAAATATTTATTACTTTTTAAATGTAGCAATGATAATTTTAAAACGTAATATCATCAAAATTCAACACTAAGTGTAATTCAACAAAAGACTTTCTGGCTGAAGTTCTAAAACATACGTTGTATAATGTTAATTGAATTCTTTGTTCTGTATATCAGTACGCCAATTAAATTCTTGCGATGATACTTTATGCGAGTTATACTAATATTTCACTGTAAGATCTTTCTAATTATACTTTTTTACCTGATGAATGTATCAAATTTCGTTTTTATTGCTATTTCATCCTCGTCACGAGGTTTACACGGTGTTTCCATCAATAATTGTATCAAATTGTTGATCGCATTCCGACGTATCACAACGATAGTAGCTTTACAACATACGGCAACAATGGTCAAGAACATTAGAGTATTAGTGGCAAAATCATCAATATTATCGACAATAAGAATTATATCCATAAATTGGGTTACCACCAAAAAGTACTCCGAGAATATTACCATAAAGGTAAATACATTATACAGCAGTTTTGCACCATTTGATGACCACTCATTAGGTCGCCACATACCACAAAGGTTATATATTAAAAAATTTAGAGAAAGTATTTGCATATTTTGGTTTCTTTTTATTTTGACCTTCTTCTTTATATATAATTTACTGATACGCACAAAAGTATAGTCTTTTCTCTACATAAAATATCTAAAAGAAAATTTGAAATATTGCGAAAAATATTTTTTCTTAAATAGATGTACTAAATTAAATATCCGAATATCCATATGTAGAGACATATAAGATATGTAACATCCGTACGTAAAATGATCCGTATATAAGAAAAATTAAATTTAGTGTAGGAGGCAATATAATATTTTATAAAATATTCTGGATTTATGTAATTAATTTTCACAAACTTCGTACTCTCTTACTATTGAATTGTACTTACTACTGAACATTTACTTAATACTAAATATTTGCGATAAATCGCGTTGCAATATTATTTTGTGTATAATTTTATCTTGAATTATGAATCGCGAACGATCTCAGTTAACTATAATGCAATGTATCATTCATATGAATACAATTAGAAGGCCTTATAAACATTATCGTGCACCTCTTTCGGAATATCGTTTCTTACAATTCTAGCTATTATTACAACAAAATTAACAAATGCAGTAGGCAAATTTTTCACTATTGTAACGATCAATAAAATTTATTTAAATGTAACCGAGCACGTCTTGCGACAGACTATGTATAGTTTTATGTACTTCAACTTCTTAACCCTAGTATATCATAGTATCATTAATAACGGTCATTAAAAAATCGACATAAAGTCGATTAGACATTTATTACGTGTATATTCTTTTCCGCTCTTGAATATGTACTATATATACTATAATTGTATTAAATTTCCTACTTGCAACCATCTATGGATATCTTTTACAACCCTACATATTGTAGTTATGTTCTCATCGAATAAAATATTTGTATATCTTCATGTTTATCAGAATTGAGTGAAAGATCGTATGTCTCGCAAAGTCTTATTTGTTATATAAGAGATAATAAATAAGAGATAATGTGTGGGCATTGTATATCTGACTGTAACTTTTTAACAAAGTAACTTATGGAAGGTCTTGTTTTCTAGGGATAAAACTAAAAAGAATTTTAGTTTTATCCCTGAATTCGATTTTGACATCAGAATTCTAAAATGTAAATTTAAAAAAATCTTTATTATGAAACTTGATTTAAGAGGATTTTTGATATCACTTGTCATAGGATTCATTATCAGAATTTGAAAGTCAATTTAGAAATTAGTATTATCTAATTGCTTAGATTGATGAACTTCAAATAAAGCAAATCCAGAAATTTGTTACTTCCAAATTCCGAAATTTATAATTATAATAAATTAATAATTTTTGCAAAACTCTATTGCGTATGATTGCCATATTGAATTTACTTGAATTTTTTATTTTTGACTTTGGATTTGAATAAAATATTATTAAATTAGTCCACAGGTCAAATTCCATAAAAATCGAAAACCAACAGTTTATAAAATAAAAGAGAATGATCCCTTATGATTGTTTTGCTAGTCAACTTTTAAAATAGATCAAAATTGACATATAATATTGGTTTCCACATTGACTTTCAAAGTTTGATTAATAAGCACTGTGACTTGATCTTCCTTCATGGAGATGTTTTCATCGAATTTTAAAAGGATACATTCAAATTCAGCGATACCGAGAATTTTCTAAAACCAAGTATCACATTAAATTATTTTTTTGAAATTTGAATTTTCGAATTCTAAGAACCAGAATCGAATTCAGCGACCACAAAAATCTTTAGAAAACGAAATCTTCTACAAGTTGCTTTATTAGAACTGTCTCGTGTCCTCAAAGGGTACATTACATATAATATGTCGCTTCTCGATAAATACGTTACAGTTGATAATATAAATACATAACTGTACATGTTTTAAAAGAAAAATCATTTTCAAATGTCTTCTCAGAAAGTCTGAAAGACATCTAAAAAGCATTTTTTAGAAAAATTTTAGATACATCTTTTTAAAAATGTCTTTAGCATGTTTTTTTTAAGAATATTTTTCGTATATCCATTAGAATTAAATAGAAAATCGTATTTATTGCAAAGTCTTACGTTATAAAATGGCAAGACAAGTACGATAAAGATAAAAAAAAATACATAGTATAGTATTTCCTAAATTAACTATAATTATATGTCGAGTATAACAAGTATATAGAATAATTATGTATTAATCTTATATATACCACATGTGTGGCATAGATTGAGAAATTATTCTGTTTTGATTGTAACGTCAAAGCCAAAATTGTTGTATAATATTGCTAGTGTATATGTAAATTATTGCATTGCATTGCAATGTGCAAAACATATATATTCATTGCGTGTGCACTTGTATGTTGAATTGCATGTCACATTTTTATTTTTTATTTTACACACAGATATCTATTTTTTAATCATTTTCTTTCCAATTATACTTACAATCTCTTGTACGATACTATATTAAATTTATTTAGAATATTGATATTGATATGGATTAATAATATTGATTTTTACTGTTGGGGGACAATATTCGTTTTCTCTAATTATTGTCAGCAATGTAGAATTTAAGGTATCAGAGAAGAACTACAATTAACAATTACAAGTTTTATAATAATGTCATCTTTACAATTTGTTAAGCTTGCGAAGTAAATGAGCAGGCAAAAATTTGCAGTAATTAATTTGTAGCCAAAATGCTATAACATTATTGTTACATCCAAGCTCACTTTTTATTATTTATGTCTCACTTTTGTAATACATTAAATGCAGAGTATGATATTTTTAAAATCTAAATGAAAAGAGTCAGAGATATATTAATACAGAAGACTGCATATTTGCTTACAATAAGAATAACATAAAATAAGAGTAATACAAACACTGCTGTAAGATTGGAGAGATAAGGTTATCAAGAAGCTACTGGTAAATTTCATAGGAAGTGTGCTGCGTAACATGATCATTAATAGTTCTTTTCTTTCGTTGACTGATAGTGAAGGCCAGTTCATATGATATATTGCATCTCCTACGCTCATACTCTATTAACATAAATAAAATAATTATCTCTACATAATAATATCTACTGAATTATTTTATTGAATACTTTGTACAAAATATATGTATACCACGATACATGCATTTTATAAACATTCTTTTATACATGTAGGTACATATACGTATTTCGTAAAATCGCCTATTATAGGATAGGCTCTTAATATGAAATAGCGGAGTTTCCATTAAAGTAAGTAATAACCAAAGCATGTAATCATTAGTTTCATTATGAGCTTAATACTCTCAGGATGAAATCTATTTAGTAGAAAATTCATTATTTAATCATGCAATTGTTGTAAAGAAATTTATGAAATTGAATGTTGTCAAGTTGTTATTGAGACGAATCTTTAAATCTTCTTAATATGCATAATAATAAATAAATATTCAACAATAAATTCTGCATGCAATAATAGAGTAAGATCGTATTAATAGGAAAATATATATGATGATTTGCTTAATTGTAAAAATCAGATTCGATGTGAAATTGTAAGGCATAGGATTCGTAATATGAGGTATTTAGAATATACTTATAATTTCTAAAAATTAAGAAATTTTTTTTATTTTCTGGCCATCTCGTTTTATAAGCATATAAGTTTGATATAATTGTTTGATATAATGGATTCTAATCTTAGGATTATTGTATTTAAAAATCACAAAGAAAAATTAAACAAATATTATACAATTATTATGTATATAATTATATAATATAATAATGTATATAATTATATATATAATAATATATATATAATTGAGATTGAAATTTGCTGTTTATCTTTCCATACTCAATTTATGATATGCTATTTCTCTTTATAACTTACAAACTAAGCTTCGGGTGAATTTTTGCGAAAGTAAAAATCGTTTCAGAATACAGCCAGGAATATGTCTCTTTAAGGACAAAAAGTTATTTTGAATCACCCTGTACAGAAAGCTTGTCTTTGATTTCCTATTATAAAGTACCATCTTATACAAGGAAATCCTTGTGTCTCATATTAGGAATCCTTTTTTTGAATTAGCAAAATTTGCAATTTTTTAATAAAAACTTTCATATACAATAAAATGTAGATAATTTTATTTTCTGATAGTATTACCGATTGCTAACTTTTGACAATAAAACTTGAATAAATCTCTTACAAGATTGATATAAAAATAGAAGCTAAGATTATAAATTAAATAAATTACAAGCCTTTAAAAAGATACATATATCTCATAATAGGCATCTTTACCCTAATTATGAAGATACATTCGTGATTTTGTATTTAATTTACAAACTTTTTAACTAAGTTATGAATACAATCTTACCTTAAGTATGACTTCATTTCCCGACCAACAATAAACATAAATTTGTACGAACATACAAATAGTGTACACTATCAAAGTGGCTGTTTCGGATAGCGTACTATGTGCTGACAGATAATATACACTTGTACATAATACCAATATACTGCCAAAGAATTGGACAAAGAGTACCTGATTGAATATGACGTTTACCGTTCTGGCATATCTGCAATGACAACACTTAATAATTCATGTTATAAAATTTTCTTATTATTACATATAGCATACATATAACATTGTAACTTGCTTAATTTTAAGAATCAGTAAAATATTCTGGCGTTTATGATTTATTACAATAGCAATTGCATAATTTTAATAAGCATTGAAGTATGATGTATCTATTTTTTTTAGCAAGGAATGATCCTTTAAAATCACTTTAAAAATCTTATCTTTTCCAATTAACAATTCCACGATCAAGTTCGAAATAATTGCGTCATTATAAATGATTTTTTTGGGAGACTTTAAATATCTTTCTATCCATAAAAAGAGAGAGAGGAAATATTATTATTATTATGACGATAATTTATAGATAGAGAAACTAATATACATATATTATATTGATGAACATCACTAAAGATGTATGAATATGCACAGACGAAATGATTCTAACTTGTAAATCTTGAGGTGATGATGTATATATTTTGATATTATCGCTTTTTCTTCATTTGACGAAGGAGAAGAGTGTTCTAAATATTTAATTTTATTTTTCATTAATTTATTAGTTTTATTAGTCACTAATTTTTGAAGTCGACTTTCAAAGATTTCAAATTGAGCGCATGTTTGCAGAAACAATCCAAAAACTAGGGTTTCCGTGCCGACATTTATAATAGTAACAAAAATCACTGTTATGATTTGTTGAACAGACGTAATCCAGAATATTGGAGATACATTAAAATCATATGGTAGCCATACTCGATAAGGTAATTGACCTTGCATAGCATTTAGCACAGATCTTACTGTAACACCAGTAACAGAACTTGTTGCTAAAAGTGAATATTTTATCGAGCATGATCTGTAAAAATATATAATTAAGATTATATTTACTAAATGTTTCTGTCGTAGTAATTGAAAATTATTTGTATTTTTAATATTTACAAACATTTATAACAAATTTTATTGTAAAATTCGATTATTATTCCATGAGAAACGTACATAAAGAGTAAATTATGTATACATATATATGTATATGTATATTATTATATATATACACATACTTTGATAATTTTAAATTATTTAAGTGTGTTATATAATATTTATTAATTTACTATTTAAATGTTGAAAATGGATATATCTTAGAAACAAAATTCAATTAAGAAAAAAATTAGATTGCTTTTGTGGTAGAAATAACTTTTTTAGCCTGAATTAAACTCAAATCAATTCAATACCGGTTAGATTAAAAAAAACGCTTAAATTATAGGCGTTTTAAATGATGACGAAACATTTTGGCTATCAAAGAATTACAACAATGGCAAAAACTCACTTGATAAATTTATCAAATTTAGTTTGTATCGTCATTTCGTCCTCGTTTCGAGGTTTACAAGGTGCCGTCAATAATATTTGCACCAAGTTAATGATCGCCTTCCGACGTACTACAACGATTGTTGCTTTACAAGTAACAGCAACAATAGTTAAGAACATTAAAGTATTTGTTGCGAAATCATCAATATTATCGACAACAAGAATGATATCCATGAATTGAGTTATCATCAAAAAGTATAACAAAACTAGTACAACAGTGGTAAACACATTGTACAGTAGCTTAGCGATGTTCGATGACCATTCAATTGGCATCCATACTCCACCGATGGTATACATTAAAAAATTTAAAGAAAACATTTGCATATTCTCTTTATGATCAGCTCATTAAGATGTTGCGACAAGGATGTAAGTATTTCTATATATCGAAAAGAATTGTTGATGCAGTATTGCGAAAAAAAAAACTTATATCTTTTATTTATTGTAAATTATATGATTATTTGATGGCAATAAATATTATTTATTTAATACATAGATCAGAGATTCCTAAAATGTAGGTCGCGACTTATAAAAATTTAGAATGTTAAATTACACTTTGTTACCCAATCAGCACTGAATATTAAAAAAATAACATTACTTTAAATCCGAAGCGCCATTACGGTCTGAGTATTAAGATGTTGAACTAATATATATATTTTCAAACAAATGAATTAATTTCAGAAATGATAATTATATGCCGATATGATTGTTGGCATTAACGCAATTGATCTGAAATATTAATAATCCCCCCAAATTCCCCAAATTAATCTTAAAAAACTGTAATAAACTTATTGCGAAAAATATTTAAAAAATATTTTTTAAATATTGTGTACTTCATTGTACTAACTCGCGCGTTTTTTATACAACTTTGCATATATGTGAAGTTGGATTTTTAACAATGTGGAACCATAATCAAATTTCGATATAAATTAAAATTTTCTAATTTTTTATGTCTAAACAACTCACATTGATATCGATGTTAAAGCTATTATTAACAAAAGAAAGAAACAAAGACATTCTTTACACATATCTTATTATTATATATCTAAGAAATAATTTATAAAATTATATTTTATAAAGAATTAAAAGAGCATTATAGTATACATAAATAATTAATTTATTATTACTTGTTTATCACTTTTTTATATTTAATAAAGAATTAACAAAGCCATTTACTTATTTAGATGAATTATTGATGTTTGTTGTTTTAAAAAGTAAGTCGCGATCTATACAAGTTTGGAATATGCTGATGTAGATCGTATATAACATTAATTAACAATTGAAGAGAGAAAGAGAGAGAGAGAAAATTATAAATATCTGTACACTTTTTCGGAATACTGCTTTTCACATTTTTAATAACACAACAAAATTAATAGATGTTAATATGGATGTAAGTTTGTTTTTTCAATGTCGAAAAGACAATATTAAATTTCAACTACAACAAATAAAATTGTGCACTCGTATTACATGAGACTATGAATTTATTCGTTTAACTTCTTAGTCTTATGCCAGTGACGGTCATTAGCGCAGAGCCTATTATAATTTATTATAGTACATGCTTATTTTCCTTTTATGCGAATAGCGTAATAACAGCTGTAGAAACGAATGCAAAGGTCGACTTACTTGTAATGAGCAAGGGGTGCATTTACCCCTTGTATCTAAACATATTGTCTATTCCCATCGAATAAAATGTTTATTCACATTCATGTCAGAAAAGTAATGGAAATAGTTCAGCGAATATAAGAGACTATATTTCCCTTACTTTATTATCTTGTCTACAAGTTAAGAATACGTATATTTTTTGCTGTACGTACATAATTGCGGTTTGTCTCTTTACTAAGTAAGTACGAAGGTCGCTGGTAGAATTCTTGTATCAATTCTTGTATACGTAAAGTATCGCACAGAGAAATGTAAGACTCGTAGAAATAATATTTTTCTTTCTCTATTAACTGAATTAATCAAATAATTTATATAAATATCATTGTTTATGTATAAAACTAAATCGTTGCACATTATAATTTCAAATTGGAATATTTAATATGTTAATATAATTATCTCTTAAAGAAATATAACTTTATCGATTAATAATTAATATATTATATACAATCTACATATTCTACATTATGACATTTCGTATAGAAATTATATGCAGAAATGAACAGCACAAAAAAGTCAATATAAAAGTGCGTTCTGAATTTCTCATAAAGCGCATGATGCTTTGTCCTTGTTGTTCACCAAATAATAAAGAAGAATAAAATAATACATCATGCGCTTCATGCATAATTCGGAACGTACCCTAAGAATACATATTTTGACAATTCTGAAAATCTGAACTTAACTTTAAATTTTTTTTTTCAAAGCGATCATATTTTGTATTTGAAATTAATTATCTCGAAAATATATGAAAAAAAATCAACAATAAGATGAGTTTTTGAGACGTTAATTAAAATGTATATAACCTACAGTACAGACTTCAAGGAGACTTCCTAAAACATCGAGAAGCTAAGATCGTTCCTAAGATCGTTCTTTTGGATGAAATATGCTGTATAGGAACAATTGTATTGTTGATAAAATTTTGCTGCAACATTGCAAAAATTTATGTGAAAATATTGCAGCAATATTGCAATCGACTTTGATTTAATTCAATTTTTATTTATCATTTTGTAATCTAATGCATTTCATGCATACATTATACACGCACCGTTAGAGATAGATTAAGAAATAAAGCGCATAACGTCAATCGCATGTGCCAACATTAATAGAATAGATATTGGAATACATTTTGCAATGAGCGATTTATCTATTGTATTATATGATATCGTATACATAGTGTATTGCGAAAGATTACAGTTTCAAAATTGTTGCAGAACATTAAATGCGGAGAAAGACATCTTCAGAAGCTGTAAAGTAAAATCAAAATTTGATAGGAATTAAGCACCATACTTATAAGAAATATTATAAATCTTTAAAAACTGACATTGCCATAAGATTCCAGAGATAATGTCACCAAAAAACTGCTGGTAAATTTAATAGGTTTTGTGCAACGCTTCATAATCATTAGTAGATCTTTTTGTTCGCTGATTGTCATCAACATCCAATCCATATGATACGCTATATCGCTCAATCCAGTACTCTACGCAAATAAAATTGATTAAAATAAATGGAATAAGCAAAAAAAAGCTAGTTGCAGAAGCCTTGTAGAGTTTTTGTTTTGCAATAAAAAATATTTTTTTCTGTTCAAATGTGTCTTTAGCAGTTATTACCTTGAGCATAACTTCGTTTCCAGCCCAGCAATAAACAAAAATTTGCACAAACATGCTGAATGTGTAGACAATTAAGGTAGCGACGTCTGTAAGCGTCAAATGAGAAGACAAATGGTACACAATTGAACATAATACTAAAATACTGACGAAAAATTGAACAAAGAACACTTTGCTGTATATGCCATTAATTGTTCCGGCAAGTCTGTAAATGTTTATACATATTATATATCACAAATAACATATTACAAATGCATAGTTGGTGAATTAAATTATGGATATTGTTGTTGTGTACACTTACGTTGCGCGCGCGCGCGTGTATGTTTGTATGTATGTGTAGGGTAAAATCTAAAACTCACGTGTTTATGACTGAAAATTTTCGTTGTATCGTATTTAAATTTTAAGCGATATGATTCGCTAACTTTAAATATATGCTTATATAATTTAAAAACTATTATGATCTCGATATTCTGTTATCAAGATTTTCATCTCAAAATGATCTTAGAAATTTATATTCTTAAGTTGTTACGGTCTTTACCGAACATTCTATGTGTATATACAATATATATATATAAATACACACACACATACATATATCGAGTATTATTATTTATTTATTATTAATTATTATTTATTATTTATTAATTATTATGTATTATTATTTATTATTTATTATTTCGAGTATTATTATTATTTAATATTCTCAATATAAATATATATAAAAGTAACTTTATCATTTACAATATATGACAAACCTGATTATGCATAAATGATGGGAAATGTGCTTCGACAACTTGCTTATTTTGCGTGATACTTTATTCAACGAACTTTTCGGAAATATTTCCTCTTCTCTGCGTTTTACCATTCTTTGAAGGCGATGCTCCAAAATTTCAAATTGTGCACACAATTGTAAACAAAATCCTAATACTATAGTTTCCGTCGCGATGTTCACAATCGTGGCAACAATTAGAGATACGATCTCTTGAAGGGACGTAAACAAGAATAAAAGAAATGAAGTACAATTCCAAGGTATCCACATGTTATAAGGTAACTGACCCTCTAAAACATCGAGTATTCCTGCCGTTACAGCACCCACCGCCGAAAACGTACATAAAAGTAAGTAATATATGGAATACGATCTGTATACAATTTTTAAAAATATATTAGAAACATATCTTACGATAAGGATGGTATAAGATTGCAATAAAGATTCAAAATTATACATTTGAATTTGACGCAATTCTGAACGTGAAATATTGTATGTATCACTTTAACTAATCCTGTTAGGCTGCGTTCGAAAACGTTATCCGTGTGTGTATGATATAATATATCATGTTATCCTTGTTTAACATTGGATGAACAATGAGGATAAAACGATATGTAGGGGCACTCAGATAACATTTCCGAACATAGCCTTACCAGAACAGTGAAAGGCACGAATACACAAAACGTGTATATGCGATACGTTTATAATTGCATAATAATGATTTAGTTCATTTGTTTTAAGTTCAGAAAAATTAATTTAATTTAATTTGTATTAAGATTCTTCAATTTTACTTATTTATTCGTGTATAAAATTTTACTAACTCTGTGTATGTATCATCACATATTTATTAATTTATTTATTGATATTGTCGAAAGTCACACTGATAATTATTAATTGATATATGTATACCTGATTGTATGATCGAATTTCATCTGGATATCAGTCTCATCTTTATCACAGGCTTTGCATGGTTCATTTTGCAGAATTTCAACTGTATTGACAATTCGATCGCGATAGATAACAGCAGTAATCGCTTTGAATATTAAGCTGATTGTTGAGAAGAAAAATGGGGAAGTCGATGCGAAATCTTCCACATTATCGATAACAAAGATGATATACAGCAAGTGAGTCAACATTAAATATGACAATAAATATATCGTGGAAAAAGTGAACATACTGTACAGTAACTTGGAGCATTTTGAAGACCACTTGATTGGTCGCCATAAACCACTTATAGTATACAATAAGAAATTGAGAGGCAGTATCTGCATTTCTACAGTTTCTACAACCAAAAGTAATAAATTCTCATATTTATTGAAAAAATAATCTGTATTTGAAATAATATATGACATTGGAATATATAGAAAGTGTCTTTTTTTAAAAATGATTATATCTTTTAAAAATGTTTTTCTAAACTTTGTCCTACTTTCTGCACATAAATCTTTATGAATATGATATTATATAAAGAACTTATATGATTAACTTTCAGCAAATGTCATGAATCATGTAACTACGGTTTGTACGTTTTCGTGTATCTGTAAAAATAACTAACACAACAATATATAAACGTGGCAAAGGTTCGTAAGACACTGTAGATAAGTTTATGTCATTGCCCTATGCAACTTAAAATTAATGATTCATTAATAACTGCAGCGGCATCTTGTCGATACCTTACTACCGGTATCAGACTTGTAATTATAATGACGTTGTTGTTTTAATCCAATTGAGGAAAATTATCCCTTCCGATATATTCCAACATGTTGTCATATTCCCAGGAAATAAAATATAGTTTTATACAAGCGTTTATTATAAAACTCTAACAAGTATAAAAAAGAACGTGAATAACATTGAGTTCTCGACTGGATCAACTTTATTTTCTTTGCAGCATATTTGTATTTTTTAAAACAGATTTGTCTCTATTATTACGAAATAATTATTTTTTAAAATATTTTATTTTGCTGTGGAAAAGATTTTCTAAATTTTAAATACAATATAATATTTAATATTGCATCAGAGAAAATAAAGTTGTTACATGTACACACAGTGCATGCATTGCGCTTATGTATGTAATAAAATATATAATTATCTTTCTAAAATATATAATTATTATATCATATAATTTATCACACACCTGCATATAGACACAATAATACTTTATAGAGAAGACAAAAGAATTCTAAGAATAATCATAAGTATTTTAAGAGGAAAAGTTGTGCGTGCCAATTAATTTTTAGTATTTTCAATATTACATTTTTCTGACCGTAGACATTAATTAATCATCAATAAATCGACGTTGCAAAGATGACTGATATTCACCTTTTTATTTTGCATAATATATATTTATATAACATCATGTATTTGTCGCACACGTCAGTCTGAAAACCAGTGTTTATTTCGATATGTCACTGTTTTGTTGCTTGTTAAAAAATTTATTTTATTCCAAAATAAGTAAATGTTTGATATCGAAATATCTTTTAATTTTCTACACGTTTTTGGCATTTATTTAGTTACAGTGAGTGTAAAAAATATTCGTACAGAGAAAATGTTTTTAAAAAAACTTTATTTTTAAAAAGTAAATATTATCCAGCGAGAAATGAGTCATCCAACTGATGTCAAATCGATATCGAACGATGATTTCAACATCAATTTGATGTCGATTCGATGTTTAATTAGCGATTATTTCTTGTTGGATAATTAACAATTTATTCATAAAGAATAAAATTTACTATATGTTTCTTAAAATTATATATATTAAAAAGATGTGTATTAATTATAGAAAATATATTATCTGAAAAATAAGTGAAAATTAAAAATTGTTTGGATGCTCAAAAAGTACAGTCGAGAAATTTCTTCTAAAATCAGTAATACATGCGAAGTTCGTTTGTTTATGTTAGAACAGAATGTATTCATTGTATAAAATTGCTAATTAATGTTTATTTTCTACAAATAAGACTTTTTTCATAAAAAAATTTCCTTGTAAATTTCCGAATACTTTTTGCTCTTACTATATATTTCATTGAATCTTAAAGGTTTATGTTGTTTAATAATAGTTCCGTTATGAAAAGATCCTCTTTGACAGTGGATTGAGGCAGTTGGTCGGTTCAAGGTCAAACCACGTGATCGAAGTTCCTCAGGAACTTCAAGTTTTGGATATTTCTCTCCTTTTCTTTCTTTCTCTCTCTCTCTCTCTCTCTCTCTCTTTCTCTCTCTTTCTCCGCCTTTCTCCTTTTACTTGCTACATCGTGTTATCCGCGATGCCTCGGTGACATACTTCTCGCCGAGACTGTTTTTTTCGATGTGTTTCATCTTCCGCTCGTGAGTTCAACGATCCATCCGAAACTGTGATCCGCGCCTCCGTTAGGCAAGCAGATAAGCGGGTAGGCAGGCAGGCAAGTAAGCAGGCATGAGGCCAGCAAGCACCGCTAGTAGGACACCGTCCTCAATAGCACGTCGAAAGTACGTGTGGTGGACGTCAGTGATCTTACGAATGCTCTCTATCGACCTGTACACCATCTCTGTGGTGGTGCCCTCGGCGCACGAATAGACAGGCGGCTCATTATATTCGAAAATATAGCGCCTAAAGCTGACGCGAAATCACGCCTGTAACAGTGGCTCGTGGATAGGTAGGTGAGTGGGTGGGTGGATGAGTCGGTCGGGTTGGTTGATTGGTTCGTGTGCCAAACATCAAGAACGAAAACCTCTTCACCTCAATTAATACCGTTGCTGGTAGTGGTAATATCAGTTAGTAGTGGTAAATACGGCGGTAGTAGTGGTTTGTAATCGGTAGCCGTGCACGCGAGTTTCATACGTACTTGTTCTCTTTACGTGAGATCGCTTAGAAATTATTTCGCAATGTGTAAAGAGTATTGACAATTACTAGAATTATTAATTACAACTATTAGAAGCTACGTGTATTGATAGCGATATTGGTAGCGCCGAGCAACAAAAAAGCAACTTGTATAATATAAATAACGCAAGAAGAAAAGTTATGTATCTTTTTAATTAGCACCGATTTTCTCACCAATCTAATGCACGTTTAGCAAACAGTTTTCTCGTCATCTATAAGATGTATAACAAATATCCGTTTAACGTGTAAGAAAAAATTTGACGTTAACATTTCTCGAAAGGCATAATTAACTTTTACAGAACTACTTTCACGAGAGTCTCTCTTTATCAGCATTGTCATTCGCGTTAACTGATTTGTAGAGAATCAGACGTTTCTTATGGTTTTTACGTATCATACTATTATTATTTCGTTACATAGCCGTGCGAAATTCCGTTCCACGTCCGCGGGAGATTTCCAGATATCACGATAAATGCGTCCGCGCTAAATGTGCGCGAAATAACAATTCGCGGCGATACGCTTGACGTTGCTTATTGTGTGCCCGGTCGACAGTAGTGTGGTAGTACCGAGATGAGACAGTAAACGGGCTGTCTCCTAGCTGGGACACATTGTGCCAGAGGTTGTTCTACAACGGCGAGCAGACAGCAGCAGATACCAGAGCTACGGAGGAAGTGGGTTTCATTAGTAGTGGTGGTGGCGTCGGCGGTGGTGGTGCTTGGGTGCTCGAGTGCTGGTGCTGGTACTGGTGCTGGTACTGGTGCTGGTACTAGTACTGGTACTGCTATTGCTACTGCTATTGCTATTGTTCTTGCTACTGATACTGCTACTGGCGCTTGGTGTGTTGCTTGCTGATGGTGGTAGTGAGTGCACGGTATAGTTCACTTCTCTCTTTGTAAGTTCACAGTATCATACATCTCACGAACTGAGATTTCACCTACGTTTCTTAGTCGTTGGTATAGCGACTGGTCTTCGGGATCTTTGGTCTTGCAGTCGTTTACCTTTTCTTCTTCTCTCTCACTCTCTTTCTCTCTCTCTCTCTCTCTCTCTCTCTCTCTCTCTTTCTCTTGGTTTTTTTCTATTTTTCTTCTTTTTTCTTTCATTTCTTCGTGACTTCCGCAAACGCCGACCATCATTTCCACTGTCCATGCCAACGTGATCACGTACGATTGAAAAAAAGTGTGTGTGTCCTTGTCCTCTTCGCCGGCACCGTGTGTATCCATATAAACGACTTGACACGAGAAGTAACGGGAAAAAAATAGCATTGGAAAAACTCGTCGTTCACACATACTGCTTCGCGTGTCGCTTTCGCAAATAGTTTTGCGCGCACACAAAGAAGTTGATTTTACGATCGGATTCTACAGATTTCACGCAGTGATCTCTCCAGTGCTGATACGTTTAAGCAATCAGGTAATGTAAATGTTCCAAGAACAACAAGGTTCTAATAATTAAATTTTGTACAAGCTATTATTTTATAAGTTATTACTATATATAATAGAGCTGATATTATAATTTAAAGTATTGTATATTGGCTTTCATATAAAAAAAAAAGGCAATAAATATTATATCTCTCATGTTATATTATACGCACATTTTCGACGCACGAAGATTACAATATTTTCATTGAAAATGAAATGTATAAAATGAATGTATAAAATATTAAGTATACATCTCATACTCTTTGTACAATTTATACACAAAGTATTTTTAAGTATTTTTGTATAAATTTTTATATTGTGCCCTGTTACTCTTTTTCTCTCTCTCTCTTTTTCTTTGATAGCTATATATTGGGTCATTTAAAAAGTATCCGCGGTTTTATCATTCAAAAATTGAACAAAAAACCGCGGATACTTTTTAAATGACCTAATATTTATACTTATTACTAGTTACTTAGACTTCGTTCACTCATAGATAATGAAAGGGATTCCTAAGTTTAAAGTTTTTTAATTACAAGTATATCTCTCTCGGTATTCGTATATTTAATGATATTGTTGCAGAATGTATCGCGTACTACTTTTTCTCATCTTCATTTACGGGAATATTCGTGGCATGCAATTCCATACCAAAGGAGATGTACCTCGTTTATATCATCCGCGCTACTTAATGTATGAGGAACCGTATAACATCGAGTTCAAGTATCACAATTACGAACAGATGAGCCGCTTTCTTCGCGCGACGTCCCTTCGATTTCAAAATCTCACTGCGCTGTATTCAATAGGAAAGTCGGTGAAAGGTATATTATCTTCTTACAATGCTAATTGAGATCACAATAAATAGCGTATTCTGAAAGAGGACGCTGTCTCGTTTGGTGTTTCATTTATATATTTTAACATTCAAGTAACAATATTAATGTAGAGAAGAAATTAAATGCAATATATATTTAAAAAACATAAACAGGCAGTTGGCATAATGAACGGTGCGCAATTAACTTTAAAAAATTTTATCTTACGTGCCAGTTGAATTTCAACATTCGCACTAGACTATGTTACTAAATATGTTCCTTCATATCTTAATTATTTTAATTAGTTCGGATAGTGGTGTAAAATACTATTTTTATATTTTTTCAATTTTTTACTCAGTGACTATGTTTCCTTTTACTACAGTATTACCATCTTGACAGAAATATACGTGGATATGTTCAGAAGTTCACATTACTATATATAAGCCCTCGTTTTCTTAATTAAATTTCTCACCTGCTTCATTAAATGCATTGTAATTTAAAGATTTTAATCATTTTTAACCATTCAGCTTTGTAACTAGTGAGATCTTTAATGGAGGAATGATTACGACCGGATTAACGTCACTTGTAATAATTCATTTATTTAACTACAACTACATGGATCATTGTTAAGAGTCTCAATTTTGCTGAAAACGGTTAGAATCGTAAACATGTACAACTTAATCATTTTTATTATGTGGAATAAAATTTTTTAGAGCTAATTACGCACCGTTTACTGTGCCAATTTCTGATTACCCGTTTATTATTTATTTGTATTTTTTTAATTTGTCGTCTCGAAAATTTTAATATTGTTACCTTTGAAATATATATGTTGTAATCAAGCGTTGCTCATGCGATAGGTCGAGATTTGTGGGTAATGGTCGTTTCCTCCTCACCTTACGAGCACATGATCGGAAAACCTGATGTAAAGTATATCGCTAACATACATGGAAATGAAGCTGTGGGACGTGAATTAATGCTACATCTTATTCATGTACGTAATTATGTCAAGCATTGAAATTTCCACGTCATTTTATTCGCAATATGATGAATAACACATGCGCGTATGTTACATTTTTACAATTTTAACTCACCTATACATCACTTGAAAAAAAGATTTATTCGGATAAGAGATTTTATCTAGTCAAATAATTCCAAATGACAATAGTTCATAATTATAAATTAATATTGATATTAACTGATGATCGTTAAACCAATGTGAATAATAATATTAATATTAATGATTCATTTACGTTCAAAAAATGGCGCACATATCCCAACAAACACCAAGTTACATGTTAGTTGTAATTTTCTATTCAGCAATATAACTGTAATATAACATACGTAATATAACACGTGTCATATTACAGTTATATTGTTGAATGGGAAATTATAACATATACATTACATGTAATTTGGGATGTTTCTTACAAATGTATTCCTTTTTTCTTTTTTTCCTTCTAGTTTCTCGTGACATCGTACGGATCAGACGAATATATTACATGGTTATTGGACAATACAAGAATTCATATTTTGCCGTCAATGAACCCTGACGGCTTCGAAGTCTCTAAAGAGGGACGTTGTGATGGTGGTCAAGGCAGGTTAGATTATTGATATAAAGGATTTATATTTATTTATATTTATTTTTTGATCATTTCTATTTTTCCAATCAGGTCAGGTTGCACTAATCAACGTTGAAATTTTTAGTTCAAACCTAATTGTCTAATGTTGAACACATTGAGACACAGTCTTTTTTGAGATTCCTTTCAAAGGGACTTTCTTTCGATTTAAACGTAAAATTGAAAGGTTTGCGCTTAATGTTTCACAAAGTAGCCATAGACCGAATAAAATACTTAAATGAATAATCGTCAGGAACACCGACAAATACGTCGTTAAATACTTCTGTTTTTGCTAAAGGAAATATATCTTGAAGCGTCTAAATACGCTTTGCGATATAATCCGTCTTTTAATCGCTTTGCGCAAAACAAATTAATTAGCTTCTAATTCTCATTTTTACGATTCGATGTATGATTATACAGGTATAACGCGCGCGGCTTTGACCTAAACCGTAATTTCCCGGACTATTTTAAGCAAAACAATAAAAAGAGCCAGCCGGAGACCGAAGCCGTTAAAGAATGGGTCTCGAAGATTCAGTTCGTGCTTTCGGGCAGTCTGCACGGTGGTGCGCTCGTGGCCAGTTATCCCTTCGACAATACCCCAAATTCGCGTAAGTTAAATCACCTTGGTTCAGTTACCGTTTCGCACGCGGAGCTAAAATCGTTAAAAAGCGGGCAGCGTGGCTCGCTCGATCGTCCTCGATCTGACTCCGAGCCACGAAATCACACGGAGTCGTAACACACTCTGCTCTGTCGTATCACGATCGTCCTCTTTACGAGATGTGATTCTGAAAAAAAAAAGAACGAACAAAAACAAAAACAAGAAAAGGAAAGAACAGCATTACTATTTTTTGGATGCAGTCCTTCCAGCGTTTCGACTGGCTCGATTTCAAATTTGTTCCATTTGTATTAAACAATTGCAATTAACAGACAGATTATAGACAGCTATGACTATAGCTGTATACGGCTCTGAAATTATTATGATATATTATGTAAACTTTCATGCCATCAGGAATATGTCGATCGGCGCCATTATGTGCAGGTATTGTGCAATATGTATATGATTATCTTTTATTATTAGTATAAGCGACTTTATTTACTTTTATCATTTACTTGCAAAACGTTAGAAACATTTCAAAAGTACGAAGTTACTTTTGATTGATTTAAATGTAATATTGAAAAGAATATAAATGATGAAGTTTACGGTTTCTTACGAAAATTATGTTAAGAAAATAACTGCTTTTTAACTGTATTAATGAACGTATGAAAATGAAATATTTGAATGCACAATTAGACATGGCATGAAACACATATCTTGTACAATTTTTCTCTGAACAAAAAAAAAGAGAAAAAGAAAGAAAGATAAAAGGAAAAAGGCGATAAAGTTATAAACATTTTCATTGAGAAATCAGAGCCAAAGATTTAAAAAGAATGTCTTGTAGACTGAGATAACTTGCAGATTACACAAATCATCTTCGTATTTTCTATCTGTAGATCTTAGATATATAGTCCAACGTTTAAATAACGTTTAATAACAGTATGCCGTAACAGTATGATATAGAGAGAATAGTGTTTCAGAGTTTCACATCGACGCCGAGCGTCTCGCCGGATGACGACGTATTTCAACATTTATCATTGACGTATTCTCGAAATCATGGATCTATGCATCAGGGATTACCCTGCTCTCCGTCTCAGCCCGCATTTAAACGTGGAATTACTAATGGCGCCGAATGGTATCCACTTACCGGTGGAATGCAAGATTTCAACTACGTGTGGAACGGCTGTATGGAGATCACCTTGGAACTTTCTTGCTGCAAATATCCACCAGCCGCGGATCTACCACATTACTGGACGGAAAATCGAGTGGTGAGTGGCTTTTGTGGAGTGAGATAGAAAATAAAGATCATATATGTATACGGCTTAATGAGAGAGAAAGAGAGAAAAAAGAATAACACAGATTCGATATCTGATTTTTGGTCTGCATACACTCTAAAAAATATCGGTGTGAATTTAACGACACTTCTAATGTGGATTTAACACCCATGCAGTGTCTACAATTCTTACTGCTGATATTAATATTATCAACAACATGGAGTAGATTTCAAACCTCTGATGTTTATATCAATCATATGAATTTAAAACCCTGGTGTTAAATCCACATCATATTGGTGTTAATATTAAACCAACACAGTGAAAATTATATAGACACCGCTATTTTTCAGAGTCTCTATTTTTCATTCAAATACGTGTTCTATTCTTCTTTATAAAAATAATAATATACATTTATTATTCTTTTATTATTTTTTTAGTCTTTAATCAAATTTCTGGCAGAAGCTCACAGAGGTGTTCATGGTTTTGTTATCGATGAAAATGGTAATCCTATCGAAAGGGCTTCCGTTAAAGTGAAATCACGAGATGTTAGTTTCTCAACAACGAAATATGGTGAATTTTGGAGAATTCTTTTGCCTGGTGTTTACAAGTTAGAGGTACGTTACGAAATGTAATGGTAATAACCTGTTGGATACAACCATTCTTTTATTATATTGTTTTACGTTACTAGAATGCCAAAATTATGATAAAATAAGAAACTTATAAAATAAGACACTGTGCTATTTAAGTATTTACTCACGTTATATCATGTTAAATCTGATCCAGTGAGAAATGACAATGAAATCGATGTCGATTCAATGTCGATTCCAATATCATTTCTCACTGAGGATGTCATGTTTTTATTAGGTATTTTCGAACGGTTATGTACCTCGTGAAGTTGAATTTATAGTAATCAAAGAACATCCAACGCTTCTCAATGTTACCCTTTACTCGGTAAAAGTAAGTAATGCTATCAATTAAAAGATCTACATTTTTGTTTGTGTATTTTGATTAATTATTTTTTATTAATTTAGTTAAATATATATATATATACATACTTTTTATTTGTTATGTTAAAAAAAAGGGAGGAGGATTAGCTATACAAAATAGTCCAAAAAAAATCTATTGCTACATTCGATATTTTATATGTTTTGATTACTCTTAACATATATATTAAAATTTATTATATTTGAAACAGAGACAATACAACGACGAAAATGGGTCTGTTTTATATAACGGAAACATCGGTGGGAGACCTTACCCACATCGCGACCATACGTTACATTATCGACCTCAATCAGGAATTAATACCGCGGCTGACGCCAACAACGGTATCTTCTCTTCTATCAGTAACGGATTTAACAACTTTGTGACTAATCTCTTTGGATAATCTTGTGAAACACATATACAAATAATATTATTTATTTATTCTATATTATCGTGTAAAGTCAAATTAAACTTAGTCTATCAATATTTGATAAATAATCGGTGCAAAGAAACTATAATCCGATTAATAAAATACTGCCAAACAATACTGCAACCTAAGTTATTTTATATTAAGTTTAATCTCTACGCTATAAAATATTTATGTATTCGCCAGGAATGTATTTTAAGAAATGTACTTTTATTCTATTTATAAATATATAAACGCACAACTATATTTTTATTTAAATATTTTGTAGAAGAAAATAGTTAATATAATTAAATCCCTTATTCTATTTTTCTAATAAACTTGTTATTTATTATTAAATTTTATATCTTTTGTTTACAATAATGATCTTAAAATACAGTTGTCAAAAAAAAAAGGAAGCTATGTTATTTTTTGAAATGCGTAATTGTTTGTACAATAGCTGCAATCCATATTGCTGCGGCATAAGCTCCAGCATCCATTTCTGTTAAATACTGAGCTTGTTTTATATAACTAGCTCGTCCCGCTCTGTAAACAAATGAATCATATTACATTAATACTTACAAAAAGTTTAGCACGAAAAAGTGACTAAATTAAAAATATTTTACGAAAATTTATATAGTTTCAAATTAGATTTCTCTAATTTTTTCAAAATATATATGTATTTTACACACACACATACACACACACACACACACACACACACACACACACAATGCGTGTCAAAAATTCCGGAACGGCTAATTATCCCAGAAAGTATTGGTTTGTTGGAAAAATGTTTTACATAAAAGTTGTAGGGCAAATGTATTGTATCTTAAACGTTAAAGTACACAGATTGTCTTATCACAGCATTCATATCTACTCACTTTGGTTTCATATTTCTCGTAGAATAGCATCCTTCCCATGCTGCTGCGGTTATTTTCTCGTAAAAATCACTAGGACACTCCTTTAACAATTTTTCATACGTCGTATACGTCGCATACATTGTGTCGATCTAAAAATATTGATTGGCAAAAATATTAATTGAAAATTTTCTTACATTTTTAATACAAGTCCTATGTCTATTTCACAATAAGTTTAATTTTTTTGCAACAAATAATAACATGGTTATACAAGTTTTAATACTATAAAAAAATTTTCTATTCATTTATCATAGTATCATTAATAATAATATACACTAATAATATATTTTAATAATGTATATATATATATATGTGCAAACCATAGTCCTGTCGCCAACTTTCGCTCTTCCATATTTCTCTAAACAATTTAATCCGCTGCGGAATGCGCAAAACCAAACGTTTCGCATATCCTTCTCCTGCCTGAATGACGCCAACATTTTCGCGCCAGTTGTAAAAAATAAACAATATAGAGCTCCAGAAGTTCCGCCCATGCATTCTTCCGCGATGTTCGCTATTTCCAATAATAACGCTGCTGGATGCGACAAAGATAAATTTTCCAAATTATTTAAAATACCTATAGAATGTAAAGAAAAAGGGAGAATTAGTAAAGTCTTGTTGAATATTAAGAGACATATAGGTATATTGTAATTCATATACGCGTACCGTTGGCAAATCGTTTCAATGTCGATCCGCAATCTCCGTCTCCGCAACCACGATCTAACCCGTTAAGATACGCCTCTTTCTCGATAATAGCTATACAAGCGTTTTTTAAACACAATTTAATCAGGCGCTGATCAGTCACATTTAACAATATTCCTATTTTCTCCACTTTTTCTTTTTTCGCATCTTTCAATGGAGTACTCAATGGAGTTGAAGTCGAAGAAATGCTGTAGGTGCAGCCTGGCCAACACGGTGCTGTCGTTTTTTCATCAAGACAATCGACGAATACGTCCCCATGATTTTCGGTCAATTTTAACAAACTTATATGTATCCCAACGCTATTTAAGGATGTCATTAAGACACCTGAGTAGACGCGAACAGGCTGTATGCCTGTCTTTTCTGCATTAAGAAAAATCAACATAAAACCATGATAAATGTAGTATAATGAGATAAATTAAAAATGGCAAATTGAGAGGAAGAAATTACTTGTTAATTATTTTACGCAAAAACAAGAAGAGCCATTAATAATAGACTAAAGTTACCAGATTCTCCGGGTGCAATCCGAGAAAAAATATTTTATATATAATTATATAAAATTACCTAAAATTATATTATATATAATTTTATATAATTGTAAAATGAATATATTTTATAATATATTATTGTATAATTTTATGATATATAATTTTATATAATTTTATATAATTATGTATAAAATATTTTTTTTCGAGGTTCCTGGATTTTTATGTGCTATTAATAATAATTTAAAAAATGGCAAACATTGAAAACATTTTTAATATTAAATTCTGGTTTATCTATAATATTATTAAGTAAAATAAAATAATATACATATATATTAGGTCATTTAAAAAATATCCGCGGTTTTTTGTTCAATTTTTGAATGAAAAAACCGCGGATACTTTTTAAATGACCCAATATATAGTTTTATGTATTTATTTCAAAAAATTTGAAACCTGTTTCCGAATAAGATAACTGAAAGATAAATGCAAATTGCGATTTCTTACGTTACGAGAACATTGTTCGCATCGATGGAATGATTTACATGGCCGGGAGGGCAAAGCTCAGAGTGAAGTCAAAAAATAGTCACCAGGGAAACGTAAACAAGATAGAATGTGGGAGTATAATAAATGATTGGAGACTTAGGGTGCTTTTTCTCATAATTTTATTCTTTTTATCATACAACAAACTGAAGTTCGATTGGTACGATCTCTTGCATGCAAGGACTTGCCACACTACTACTTTTCGATTTAATAAAAAAAAAATCTGGTAATCTTAAGATACGTCTAATAGCTGTCAATAGATTCAGTAAGTAACCGATATGGAGATTGGAAAATCTTCAAATTTATATAATTTTTTTCTTGAAGATGAAAGAAACGGATATATGATTGATTTATATATCATATTGTATGTAAGCGGCTCATATTATGATTTATGTTCATATATATAAAAAGAAGAAAAAACAGTAAATAAGTACTTACGAAGCTGATTTACAACCTCATAGACGATTATTCCTTGTTCCAATTGACTTAAAGCACCGAAATTGTTGACTATAACCGCGACCGAGTCATTAGTGGACAAAGATAAGACTTCACAAATGCGCTTTAGCATTAGCATCACCAGTTCAGATGCGGTCCTGAGCTTAATTCTCTCGTATCCCGCTTCTCCGTGCACACCCATTCCACATTCTATCTCGTCCTGTGCAAGCTCGAACATGAGACCTTGACCTGCATTTAATATTCTCATTGTCAGATTAAGCATATCCATGTAGAGTTATTCTAAATAATAATTCTAATTGTAAGCCGCAAAGTATCGCAGATACGGCATATTCTTTAACCGCGGCAGTATAAAACTGATTTTTCTCTTGACAAAAACTTGTTAAAATTCGTCTGAAGAGAATTCGCTCCAAATATTAAATATATATACGTAATACACCAAACACATCAAATTTTCTTGACATTCTCGGGATAAATAATTTAAGCTTTTAAACTATAAATTTAAATGTAAATTGAATGTACTCAAATATAATATTTTTTTTTAATATAATAAAGGATCCTTATTGTTAAGAATATCCTTGTTAAGATTCCAAATATCCAACCGGATATCCGAAAAGAATACGACATCGGTCCAGTCTGATAATTTTACGATCTGATGCATCCCTAATAGATTACCTCATATATCAAGTATTCGGAAAAAAGTGACTAGGCAACGATAATAAAGGAATAAACAAAGAATGGCTACGTTCAACAGAAAAAGCAGTTTTGCAACTGTTGTAAAATTCTTTAATATGATTAGTTTTGTCCTTAGTTCCTCACTTTAGATCTAAATGTATAAATCAATCATATTCACGAATTTTACAACAGTTGCAAAGCTGCTTTTTTTGTTAAACACAGTCTGTTGTCTAGATTCTGATCCATCTCTCTATCCGTCCATCGGATGGAGGAACAGCCTCATTATAGAAGCGCTTGGCCATGCAAGCTTAGCACATATACGTAATTATCATAACTATGGCGCGACTTGAACGTAATGGTAACTTATGAGCCTTGATTGTCTCATACCTGGTATTGCGCATGCGGATAATCCGATTCCGTAAGTCGCGGTGTTTTGTGAAACGCGTCGTGCAATTTCTGCTACTTCACACAGGGGAAAACCCTTTTCGGCGAAAGCACCCGCAATTTTGATAACGAACAACATGCCGACCAGTCCGCGCTTACCAGCGACGCTCTGTTCGTTTACGGGAATACTGCAGTCATCATCAACGATTACCTCCTCCACCTGATTTTATTAAGATATTATATGTATAATTTTCAAATAGATCGATAATTTTAAAACATTTAATTTATATCATTGTTTGCGGGTAAAAAATGGAAGATTTTTCATTTTACCGCAACTCCCGCTTGCCGAGTCTTCTCAATTGCTATGCCAAAATTTAGACGATCCCCTGTGTAATTAGGTACCACGACCACAATACCATCTAAAAGAAGATATTAATGTACGTGTGATTTAAAAAATACTATTTAATAATAAGTTTTTTAAAGTAAAAAGACCTTTATTATTTTCTGCAATACACTGAAGAGCATATGTGATATGAATAGACGGCGGTGCTGTAAAAATGGATCCTGCTACGGAAGCTGTCAACATACCACTGCCAACAAATCCTAAAAAGACATTCAGCAAAATATTTGCATACATGAAAATTTTCTTCTGAAAACTTTTATTTATGACTATGTATCTAAATATCTCTAATATAATAACACACAAATTATACAAGTGAAATATTATTCACAATATTTTTTATTTTATAATACTTTAGAAAGAAGATTTTATTTATTTTCACGTAAATAAGACAAACGAGATTTACATTGATTGAAATGTTTAACTTAATTCAAGAAAACGCAATATATATATATATATATATATATATACATAATGTTTTTTACCTGCAGCAAATGGTTCGTGTCCACTACCACCACCGCAAATCAAGGCCACTTTATCTTTACGATCCCTATGCTGAATATATATGTGTAGAGATACATAAATTGTATTTAGAATTTTATTACAGAAATATATTATTTATAACAGAGAGAGAGAGAGAGAGAGAGAGAGAGAGAGAGGTCGTGCGAACGATTTTTTGATCCAGTGATATATATTAATTTAAATGAGAGTACATTAACGGTATTAAAATAATAGTGTAAAAACTTTCGAATCAAATCACTAGTCGTCAAACTTGGAAAATTTGAAATATTATTTAATACACAATTTTTACTTTTCGTCGATACTCTCCCTTATAAATAATTTAAACTTTTTAATTAAATTTGTACGAGCAAATATATTATAATAAAAAATTTATTTCTTTAAAGAAATAAAAAATTAAGAGAGAAAAAGAGAGGGATAAAGAGAGAGAGAACTTTCTATTATTTTTATAAGACGAAGAATGACAAAGAATAAAATTGCTTTATAAATTTATCTGTCATCCTTTAATTGTAATGAAGCAATAGCATTATAGAAACGTATTTTTATATGTATACGTACATCTGGTGACAGTACAACTCTGTGCGATGCATGATGTTCTAATTGCGGATATGTATAGGATAATCCGGATAGAGTCTCGAACACCGCATCGTCTAACAAGTTAATTAAACTCTTTGACGTTGCCATTGTGAGTCGCGGTCAGATGAACATCAATGGAACATCAACGTTGAATTTCACATTAAATAAATGAGATAAATTTCAACAAGATCTATAAATCCAATGATCCCCACTTACAGATCTCGGGTTATCAGAATGCTTCGTATGACGCATTACATATTTGATAACCGATCTGTAAATTGGAAACGGAGCGATAAAATAAAAATATTACACTCAATTCTTTATTCACTTGTACTAGCTCGAAACGCGTGAATGATTTAAGTTTCTCTTATATAACACGACTCTTACGATTCTTACGTTCGTGCTTTTATAATTGTTACAATTGAATCGAGAATTCAGATACAAGCAATTTAATAATTATGTCTCGAAAATATAACTACTGAGAAAAGAGACAGCCTAAATTATTTAATCGAAAAACAAGATGGGATTATTCGAATCATAATTATTCGCAGTGTGTACGTGAGTTGAACTTAACATTCGATAGATTAATTGAAGCATCAAAATATTATTTGTTTGAAAAATATACCCTTTTTAAAATCAGAATGTATATTAAATGTATGTCAGTAATCTACAAAAAGAGAAATTTTATGTTTTTTGAAAAAATATCTCTATTTCCCCCTTCCCCTCGCCTCCATTGCGTAGATTGATATTACATACATATAAAGATAGTAATGGAAAATAAAGAAATTATCGAGGATGCATACGCAGCACGCCTGATTGTCGACTTGTAGTTGATATTTTTCATCGACTTAAGTCAATTTTCAAAGTCGATATTTAGCTGATAATTACTATTAAAATAAGATCAGATGATTGTCGGCTTATAGTCGACTTAAGCCCAAGACAATGCGAAGGAATAGCGATAGCGATAGAAATAACACGATTTCAGCCTATTAGAAATCGGATATATCGAAATACACAGTTTCTGATAGGTTGAAATCATGTTATTCCTACCGTTATCGCTATTCTCTCGTATTGTGTCTTGGGTTTTATAGTTGACATTAAGGCCCGTTTCCACCAACGAAGATTAACTTTAATCTCGATTCAGTTTAGGCCAAAATCAGACATTGAAGGATGAGATTGAAGATTGAAAGATTAAAGTTTGACCAATCAGAACAAAAAGAGTCAAAACTTCTTTGTCCTCATTGGTGAAATTTCAATCTTTAATCTTTAATCTCAATTTTCGATGCATAGCCTTACTCTTTGATCGGTATTCATAGTCAGTTTTTATATTCAAGATCATCTTAAATTTAAACCTTAAGTTAAGCCTTGAGGTGTCACGAATGCAGCCCTCTGATTGATTTGTGACTTCTTAAAACCGTACTTAAGACTATACTTAAGACGGTCTTGAATATAAGCTCTGACTATGAATACTGGCTATAAACTATTATTATACATATAATGTATATATACACACTTTATATCTAAAGAAACGGCCAAGGCAAATTTTAGTACAATTTCTTAACATTTTTTAATAGTGATGACTCAGCAAAAAAAAACATTGAGATGAACAATAGCTCAAATTAAAGCTTGAACTTTTTTTGACAACCAAGAAAATCAAAATTGAATTACAAAAAATGTTTTACAAAATGGCGAAAGTTGAAGAATCCTTTGAAAAATAGGAAAACAAATTTTTTTAACTATTGTGCTGCTCGAAGGAAGCCGTTGCCTGATACAAAAATTTATATGAGTTTTTAAGATCATTCCTTTTCTAGCAAATCCATATCTATTTTAAATATTTTTTTACAAACATTTAATTTTTTGTTAAAATTATGTCGTTTTAAAATAAATATTACAAAATGGATTATTTTTGCAAAATCTATAATTCAGAAACAAATTATATTAAATCGCAAAAAACTTAATCAAAAGGAAAATTTTAATTTTAATTTTAAATCTTAGAACTTTTTTATTTTTCCATGGTAAACTAATGAACAAAGAATATGCTTTTTTTAAATGGAAAACATTAGCTCATAATAAGTGCATCTGTTTAGACAAGAAGTCCAAAACTTAACAAATAATCCTGAAAAGTGGATGTAATATATATGTTCTTGAAGAACATGTTTGTAAATTCAATTCATTTTTTAAAATATTGTTTTACATGATTTTTTAAAGAGTCCTTTTTTTTAAATTGTACAATTCATATCATTTTAATCGTAGAGAAATAGAAAAGTTTTGAAATTTAAAGTTTACATTTTATAAGTTTTCCTTGACCAAAGTTTGTTACAAAAGTTTGCATAAAGATTACTTAAGACATTACTCAAGACGATCTTAAAATAAGAAAAACCGACTATGAGTGGTATAGTCCATTCTTATTTCAAGACTGTCTTAAATAATGTCTTAAGAGGCTAATACAGCCCTCTGATTGGTTCATTGGACTTTTGGACTTTTTAAGACTATACTTAAGACAGTCTTAAATATAAGATTTGACTATAAATATCGGCCTAAGCACTTATTGGACTACAAATAATTAGATCGAAAATGGCGATCAAAATAGCCAATAGGAAAATGTCGGCATTTCGGCTTGATAGAAAGATTATGTTATTTTGGTAATATCTAGAGTTTTAATTATTCATGACTGTACACGCCATCTATGTATTGTCTATCCTTTTCGCATTGTCGTTAGACGGAGGAAGAGAGAGCAGGAAAATGAATGATAGATAATATCATTTTCGTACGTAATACGATTCCAAATTACGCCGTCATTGTATTCTTCCGATAAGTCACTTTCCATTGCACCGTGCAATTTCATCTCTTATGTATGTATATGTCTCCCGGGTGATTACGAGAACAAACGTGAGGTTTGGCGCCAACATAACCTAACCTTATTGCGAGCCTTGTAAAAACGATTTTTAAATGCGACTTTCACTGATGATATTTCGGTAGCTGGCCTGAGAAATGAAGGAGCTAGAGGAAGTCAACTGCGAGGTAACACATTACAACATAAAGATATTTCAATTATTGATATAACCTATCGTGATTTTTAACGTTCTCAATTGATATTTTTCTACTTTGATTCGAATTATGTCGAAAATATAAAACAATGGATGATATATAAACGAAGAGTTTATTGTTTTTACATTTCAATAATTTTCTCGATAATTCTCTCGTGTAGATTCGCAGGATCGTGAATCTTCAATTTCCTGTGTCAAATTGGTTAAGAAATTTAGAGTATGGTCAGTCTGCGAATTTTCAAGAGTACGACAACGTTAATGATTACCGTGGAGGATTTCTGCATAATGCAACATACGCATGGCTGAGTTATGGTTGCCACTTGGTAGTTTTTAATGTAAAAATAGGAGAGACCGTCAGCAGTTGGATGTTTCGTGGTGTTGTAACATCAGTTTCCCAATTTCCTATTCAACCTGGAGAATTTCCATTACTGCTGGTTGGAATAGATAATTGTGCGAGCAGACTGAGAGATTCTTCTGGTTTATTATGTATATTTGACTGTACTACATCCCGTGTTTTGAGGGCTATTCGTGTAAGTATTATCTTTTAAATCAGATTCGTTTTGAATTAGTATTAAAGATTGTAATTAAAGATTTTTTTTTTGTATTTTACATGGTGTTTTATAGATGCCATGTGGGATAGAACAAGTATGTGTTGTGGCGGGTGGTGCCGAATGGGAGGAATTCAATGATAAAAGACCTGATAACGTATTAAATGAAATGGATGGAATGGCCTGTGTAGCTTTGCGTAATCTTCAACATATCATGATTGATCTTCGGAGAACTGTATGGGATATGGATGATTTATCTATTATTATGGATGAAACGTCACCGGCAGAGATACATTTTCCATCGGTGAAACAAATTATTGATAGACGTCAATCCATTCGAGAAAAACATGCAGCTTACAATTTGCTCAACAACCGTAAGTGCTAATAATAAACGATCATTATCAAGTTAATATTTGTCCACATGTTGATACTATATTAAATAAAAAATATGAAGTAGAGGACAGATTAGTATACTGCCTTCTATAAACACATACACATGCATCTCTTACATACAAATTTTTGATTAATATTATATCAGTAATTACTTGAAATTTAATATATTCTTAGGTATAGAAAAGCACATTGGTTTTAACAGAGAAGATTTCGAAGCATCTCCTTTGCTCGGCGAAACTTTGACCACAGCAATCGTTAGTTCTACAAAGATTGGCTGTTTAATCTCCGGCTGTTTAGGCAGAGTGATAATTTGGCAAAATGATGGTTCCATAGGATGGATTAGTACACCCATCGACGAGAATATGACAGTCACGCATTTGGCTTTGTTGGAACCCACAGACGATCCTAGACCTTTTTATTATTTGTGGGTAGTGTATCAGGACGAATTGTCAAAAGCACCACCAATATTGCGAATGTACGCCATGCTATTTGAAAGGAAATACTGTGACAGAGAGATAAATTTGTACTTTAATTTAGAAGATGATCCCAATTTGAAGTTTGAATCGGAATTGAACGAAGGAGACAAGGTTATCAATTTGTGCACTGTTGAGAGAGAATCCAATCCAGAACAGACCGACTCGGCCACTAGAAGAGGCGAGGATAACTTACTGCTTATCGCAACTAACGACAGAGTATTTCTGTTTGACTTAAATCAATGGTACAAAGAGCAAATGCCGCACACTATTAGCGAGTGTCAGAATCCAAATAGTATATTGGCAACGTATCGTATACGATCGGATGTACAAAACGAGGAAGACACTCAGGTCATAAATTTCGCATATATCCCACACAGTTTGCAAGAATTCTCCAGCAGTGGTCCGAGTTCATCGGAGGAATTGTTCTATCCCAATTCCTTGTCACTCGAATGGGTGGAGTTGAACTCAATGAAATTGACGTTCTGGATGACTCGTGGTATTCAGACCGATTTATTACGTGAAATAGCTATGACGGGTCCTATCGTATTGATACAACCGTTTGAAACGTTTCATAGATGTCTTTCTGTTGGGTTAATGCCGTTCAATTCAGAATTCTCATTTGCCAGCGATCAGAATGCACAACGAGAGATGTTGTTGTCCCTCTGCTTGGAGCAGCGATGGTCCAGTTTTCTAATAAAATGCGCAATAGAGTGGTCAGATGGTAGTGCCTCTTACTTGTATCCTACTTTCCTCAAGTGGGGCATTCAGAGAGCTTCTACGATAAAAATGATCGCGGATCGACTCTGTATTCCTTTGTTCGATCAATCAGGCAGCAGCATTGGTGAAACTGACGTGAAAACTTTGCGGTTTTGTTCGCAGCAATTGGAATGTTTGTCCAATGTAGTGGCTAAATTGCCATCCATGGCGGTTGACTTGATGAAGCAACGAAGGATGTTGAAACGCGTGTCCTTATATTTTCAAGTACTCCTTTGGTTCTACGACGTGGGTCTGTTGCCCGAAATGCAAGATTTAGAAGAGGAGAAGCAAGCAGTAACGGCGGCAGAGACAGCGGAGCAAGAAGAAGGAGAAGAGGAGAAGAGTACGCTACCTATCTCCTTAGCGCTAAGAGTGCCTTATCCTTATGCGAAGCTTTCGGTGCTTTATAAAGAGAAACGAGCACAATTGTTAAAAAACAATGGCAGTAATGGCGAAAACGAGGAAGATTTATTTATTGATGAGCTGATAACGCGTGAGTGTTCCATGTTGAAAGAACAATGGGAAAGAGAGGGTGGCATCGCCATGCATGGCTGCTATCCACCGCCATCGCTGCAATCTCTACTACGATCTTATTTAACCGATTGTCATCAGACAGAAGTAAATGAGATCAATTGCAGACATCAGATTACAATTTACCTCCTGATGGACCTAGCTATGCTGCTGCAGCGGTCGTATCCCGCGGTGAAACAGCTGATCAAATATCCGTCCGCATTCATGATGAGCCCCAGTCTCATCAAGCTCACTCAGGCATTCTGGCTACTCGATCACGAAAATTATCAAGAATTTCTTGATACAATGACCGGTCAATTAGTTTGCGATTCTGATATCAAGGATTGGCATCATAGATTCATATTGCGTACTTTGGTGCGTAATAATCAACACAAACTGGCGCTCTTGTATCTTCGCGTGAGGAAACCACCCTTGTCTTCCATAGAGGAACAAGGTATGGCCATGAGCCTTTCAGTGGAACATGGCCTGGTACAATCCGCTTTCCATCGTCGACCACCCTGTCACTACGAACAATTACTAACCAGCTTCTTTCGAGCGTGTAGAACATACAATAAGCTCGATGAAGTTCTGCATTTAGTTTTAGATTCCGAGGAGGAGGAAGTATTTGTCAAATTTCTCGAAGAGAATAAGATGGAAGATTTACGACTGTTGTACTATCTACAACGATGTCGTTACACGGAAGTAATTGGCGGCTATCCGATCCGGCAGTACCAACCGAACGTGGTCAAAGATGTGCAGTCCACGTCGTTCATTATGCTCAGCGCGTACGAAATGACCTTGCCCGATATCACGAAACGATTCTCTATGAACGCGACCACATCGAATTCGGACGCAGATCTAAAGACACGCTATTCCAGACCGATGTCACATTGTAAAAGCCACGATAAGTTGCGGAATATATATGAAACTGTGATTACAAAGGCCAGAGAGACCTATCTACGAGGAGAGAAATCTCAGATTCCATTTGTCAGTGCGCCTTGCACGTCATTGAGACTCAACAGTCACGGCGTAAACATGAACTGTGTGTTATTTCCAACGTTAACGCATAAGAGTCGCGGCAAACGCACAGTTGATCAGATCTACGAAGAAGATGATGCAGATGATGTACCAAATGACATTAAACGCCGGAAACTAACAGACAAGAATATCTCGCCGAGCAAACGAGTTTCGGAAGAATCAAGATTGATGGAGACTTTCGAGACGCCTCTGGTAAAGCGTAAACCTAATGTCTCCATGAACAAGGATCGTGTTCTAGAGACACCGCAATCAATTTTGAAAATTAGACAACTTGTAAGAAGCTCGACGTCTCCTACTGTAATGTCCCAAGCAAAGGAAACTACCGATAGATTGTCTGAAAAAGAAAGAAAAGTTAGTAGACAAATACGATTTAACATTAATCAATCCAAGAAAACTTTGATGTATGAGAAAGAGGACGAAAAAGAGGAGAGAAGACAGAAGGAAAAAGAACAAGACGATATTGAGACTGATGTTCCCCTTAGTTCGAACGAAGCGAATAATGATACGTTCTTCAGTCCAAACGCGAGTAACAAGCCAGAATATTATGAAAGCGCGATTTTGAGTGACAATAGCAGTACGTCTGGTAAGATTCATTGCTACGCTCGTCCGCGACCCAGTCTCAGAAGAAGTGCCTTACAATCGTCCGTAGAAGTGCCACAGGAATTTTGCACGGGTAAAGCAAGTGGCTCGTCCGTAAACTTGTCCGCAGCGATCTCGAGGACTTCCGAAAAGATAAATGAACAATCGTTTATCTCAAGTACACCGAGAAATCGCAGCTCGTTATTACCGACCTCCATTTACTCGACCACTGTATTATCCTCTGACAGCAGCGTCGCCGATATTAGCTATCTTACAAAGAGATCAGGACTTACTAATCCGCAATGGACACCGTTCAACGAAAGAGATGGTGACGACAAATTTACCGTTACGTCTACTCCACTAACGAGGATTACAGTTTCTCAGACATCTATTGACGACGAACGAGCCACGGAAATAGATGACGTGAATAACTTGTACGAGATAAAGGAAGATGTTAACGTGCTAAACGAATCTAAAAAATCTGTGCATCATGTTGAACAATTTGGTTGTGATGGAAGTGAAACAATTGATTTCGCAAAACAAGAAGATAGTTTAGATAAGGTCGTAGAAAGCAATAATCGACAGAACAAATACAATAATGGAAGGATCGCGAGGGAGGCTAATCCGAGTTTACAAAATTACGAGTTGCCTATACTCTTCGAATCTGAAAAGGTCGCGGAATCGAGTCCGATCGTTTCGGATGAATCTGACGAGGAACTATTTACATTGCGAAACGACGAGGATAGTGACGAGCACGAGGAGACGTTCGAGAGTTTGGAAGATGCGCAGATGCACTTGGATAGTCATCAAGTTCCTGCTTCTTGTTTGTCCCGTCAGATTCGGAATCCAGGATATAAAACGGAAGAATGCAGTATGACGAAATCTAACGGTTTGCAAGAATCGGTGCAAATAATGGGTGACGTTGATTTGACTGATGACGAATCTGCGAATAGCAGAGCTGTTACACCGGTAGTACCTGATGAAATGGATAATAAAAAAGAAACACATTTGATGTCAATTATTCCTTCAGAACATATATTATACGACATGTCGAATATTACAGACGATGAGTCTGATTCCAATGCTAGAGAAACTGAAGAGTCAAAAGCGAAAAACGGTAGATATTCTAATTTACAAAGCTCCTATGTCACGCAGAATGTCGAAATGGAGAAGAACAGTGAATCCAATGAGAAGAACCGCAAATCAGAGCGTAGGAGCAAAAGCGTTCCAAAGGAAGGTCTCGATGAGGCTTCATTGTCCCGACAGCGATCCAACATCGATATCCATGACAAATCCGATAAAACTTTTTCGAGCTATGTAAAATTGTATAAAGTAGACGATAGTACAATCGAAGTATCCGAGGAGATGGCTAAAGAGAAGGTTGAAGACATGACTGAGGAGAAACTGTCAGGTGATCAAAGTTTCTCGAAAAGTAAGAAGAATCAAACTGAGATCACGGATATTTCATCTGTACGTATGACTAGATCACGTAGAGCAGGTTCGGTGGTAAAAGATATCTCGGCACGGCAAGTAGAGCCGGAGAAAGTCACCCGTTTACGAAGATCAAGTTCAACGATGAAGGACTCTTTAAATTTTTCAACAGATCATTCGTCGCAAAAAACAGATTTCGAAATATCGTCGCGTTCGAGGAGAGCAAATTCAGCAGCGAAGGAAATAAGGATGGATTCTCCCTCGGGAAAATTACGTGGTCGAAGAGCGAATTCTCTTGCGAAGGACATATTAATGAGCTTGGATGAGAATTGTGAATCAGGAAACTCCGACGCGCAACCATCAACGAGGAGAGGCCGCAGATGTACGTCTGTAACGAAGGAAATGCCGCAGCCCAATACAAAGGATAGCGACTCCGAAAGCGTCAAGGATGAACTACCAGTAAGGAGAAGCACAAGACTTGCTTCTTCCGCGAGAAAAGAATTACAGGCAGACACCCCTTCTCTGCGAGAGAGGAGTTTCACAAAGTCAGGAAGTGCGACATCGCTTGTAAAACTGGCGAGTGACGACGAAGAAGGCGAGAACGCGAACAAGAAGTCTTTGCGACGCACGAGGAAATCTTCGGTATCGTCCGATACCGATGGTGCAACGATAAACAGATCATTGAGATCATCCATGAGGGATAAGGAGTGTTCGAAAGAACCAGACATTAAAACGACCCGAAAACGTGGCAGTTCAGTACCTAAAGAGATGAAGACGCCTATAGGATCACTGCGACGTAGGTCCAGTAGTATTATTAAAGAAATCATTCCGGAGGTTGCTGAGCCCCCGGAAGAGTCAAAGAAATCCAGGAATTCCGCCGCGAGAGATACAGAAGAGATTGTCGGTAGACTAACGACAAATGCGCGCGTTCGAAGCGCGTCGGTACTCTCTGTGCCAGAGGAATTGGAAGAAATTTTAAGTCCGTCAATAAGAGAGACGAGATCTACTAGAAAGAAGGCTGTGCAAAGTAATGCCAGAGAGAAGAGAGCGTCCAGCGCAGATGTGACACACACAGATATGAAAAGAAGGGTCAGAAATGTTGACACAAGTATCATAGTGGTATCACCGATAGCGGAAGAGCTAGTGGAAGGAGATGAAAAAACAGATATTGAAATCGCGCAAGATACTCCAGCGCCTAAAAGAAAAACGGCATCAGTCACGATGATCAAAGAGACGAAAACGAATACCGTGAAGTCGAGACGAGGTAGACCGCGCAAGATCAGTGTAAGTCAAGAGTTCAGCAATCTGTTTTCGTTCTCGTTGCCGGAGAAAACGGATGATGTGCCATTGGAGAAAGGTAATTTGAAAAATTAGGCCGCTTACCAAGTGAATAGTCTTATGTTGCAAGGAACGCTCTGTGCAATAATAAACGGAATTTTTTATCAATATCTCTTTTGAAGAATTGCTTTCAGAGATTTTTGTGTAAATTATCCTTTAAATTTCCTTTTCTTTCCGTAGATTGTATTTTTACCATTTTTTTACACAATTCGCTTCTTATAGTCGATTTCTATCTAATTTGGGACGTGTGTATAATTCCATTCACTTGTTGAATAGCAGATTTTAAATAGCGGTTTGACGAGATCATACTCTTCTATTTACAGACATTGGAGAGGTCCCGAATTATGTGTTCTCACCGCCTCAAACCAGATCTAATAAAAACATTTCTTCAAAACAACATCGTATGTAGGTTGTTATTCATTAATTCGATATAATTATCCTCATCGCTATGTGTTTTATCACTTTTTAAAAACTTCATTTGTCTCTATTTCGTCTCTTCTTATTAGAGAAAAAAGATGGAAGTCTTTTAATTTATATCTTATGTTTATTTTTTACAGAAAAATGAGATCGTTCATACCGAGTCCTTATCAAGAAGGAAAACAACGACCCGCTATCCGGCAATCTCACAACATCAAATCTGGCGTTCGTTTAGTTAAAAATTCTTTCGGATCGCGATTTCGAACAAGATTTGTTGTATCTAAAAGATCCAAAAATACAACAGATTAAAACTGGAATTTCCCAAGAGTTCTATCACGCACATTTTAGATTTGTAAGTCTTTCAATATTTGTAAATTCCTTTCACATATTTCTTTTATCATCGCAACATGTTTTTTTTTTACCTATGCTTCTGTCAATTAAAACAGTCGATTACTCAAAGCATTAACTTTTAATATTTATAAACACGGTGCGTGTGAAACAAAAGAAATATTAGGAAACGTTAACATAGAAATTGTTGACCAGTTTTAGCGTCTATATTCTGGCAAAAATATAGTACAAAATAATCTCTCTGATATGATAAATAATTATGAATGCTAATAAACAAAGATCGAAAGATTTAACTTGTCCCAGCATATCCTAGTTAGAAAATGAAAAAAACAATTGCTTTGTCTAATTGAAATTCCAGCGGGGACAGACAAGTTCAATTGTTTGCAAAAATCAAAGAGAAACAAGATCAAGAACTTGAATAATCTTATCTTTTTGCAAACAACTCAATTTGTTTTGAATGACGATCAGGTAAAATATCTCGTTTTCTTTTTTTGATTGGAATATATTTTAAGTTATGATGGGAGGTGATTGACTATTCCAACATGATATTTGGAATATATGCTAATGTGATGTTGAGAAATACCTTTTTTTTTCAACAATATGTAGAAATTCTAAGATTGTTTTTATCAAAGATTAATAAACCCGCATAAGTGAATCAAATTACATTATATATGTTTCCAATTGCATAAAAAAAGTTATGTTTTTCCTTCAATGTAAAATATATCATGTTATTTTTGTGCGATGCACGCGCGAGCCGGCAAGTGTACGGTGATACGATTACAATGAGTGTTATGTTAAATAATGTATTCTAATGGTAAATTATCATTGAAAAATGTACAGATGTTTTCATATTATGCGTGCGTACATACAATATTCTTTGATCACGATAGTATTCATTCCATCTATATGTACATTTTTTAAAGATATTTATTATCGGTAGTATCAGTTTTTTTATTGTTGATGTTTCTAGATGTTCATTTTGTAGCACAGGATTTTTTGCTACACATTTTGCATATATAATATAGTACATGCTCCTATAATATTTTCGGCAAGAAAGCAATGTATCATATCTTTGTAAATAATTTATTAATATACTTATGTATAGTTGTATCGATACAATAAATGTAAAAGAAACTCACACACACACACACACACACACACACACATATATATATATATACATATATGTATATGCATATGTATGTATATATATATATATATATATATATATATATACATATGATAGTAAACAAGAGAATTCACCACAAATAATATAATCATTATGAAAAAAGTATTACAAAAAAATTCATATATTCTAATGGAATATTGCTTGAAAAGCTATCAATAGAAATTCTTATTCTTCTGAACACAGTTCTTACATAAGTTAGTAAGTAATACATTGTACACATATACAATAAGTCTATATATATCCTTTATAATGCTAGAGAATTAATAATAAATAAATTCTAAACGTTTTATAAATGTGTTATTTTGAAATTACAAGTAATTTTAAGATTTTTTTTCTTTATTTTTTGAAGGGAAAATGTAACAACTGTATGTAGTAACAATTATGCGTTCTCTCTTTAACATTTCCCTTCAACACGTTATAACTATATACTTCAGTAGTTTTGAAGCTTGTTATCATATATCATATTCCAAAATTCGAAAAATATTGCAATACATAAAACTCTTTCAATCTAGATCCTTATAAATACGTAATGTGTATGCCCTTTCTTTATCAACACTTTTTTTAAAGGCCTGTATTAAAGTGTTATTCTTTGGCAGTGTTGTCGTTCTTTACGTTCTACCTTAACTGTAGAAAAAACTTTAAATAGTCGATTTATTAGTAAATTAAACATGTTATAGACAAACTTTGTAGCGTTGAATGATATGCATATCGGAAACGTATCAGTCATTTTGTAAGAGCCAATTGAATGTAATGAAAACGTGAGATTCTCTTAAACATAATCATTTAAATAATACAGAATAATTTAATTTAAAGCAAAACTTTATAATTTCTCAATCTTTTGTCATAACCTAATTATGCATTTAAAAAATTATTCTGTATACTTGATCCATTTATATTTGAATTACAATTGAATTAACATTTTATGATAAATTCATATTTGATCAATATTTGTACACTGTTGCACGACTTTCTCGTCTTATATCAATGCATAAAGTTGAAAAATATATTATTTTCTGATTGTCTAAGATATTCTTTTATTTTTATTCTATTTATACTAAAAATGTCAAAAGTTTAAACAATGAGAAGCATATTAATGTTAAAAAAATATTTATACTAGTGTCTATATATTTTACAACAGGGATGACAAGTAACGCGTTATTTTCCATTCTTGCTTCATATACAATTCTATCAGAGACACAGTTATCAAAAAATGTAAAACGAAAATTGAGGACGCTACAATCTGTTCATTCGAATATTAGCAATTATAATTATTGCTGAATAATTCGTTAATTGTTAAGGCTCTTAGATTTTTTTAAATGCCCTTTAAAAGGCACATTAAACTTTGTGTAATGTATGGCAGTATATTGATTTACATTATCATATAATATATGGCAATATATCCTATCGATACAAAGAAAAATAATCGTAAAATCTTAAAATTGGTACACACATTTTGCGAAAGTAAATATATATACTATATGTATAAAATAAATGTATTATCAATATTGCTTAATATGTAACAAAATTGCATCTCTTTATGGATAGATCTTAGAAATGAATACTGCTTGTTAATTTATGTCATCGTTTGATGGCAATAAAAAAAAATTTGTATAAAAAATATTAATCTCTCTCAGCTTTATATTTCTTACTGATGCTTACACCCATCTTTAACTCGCCGCTTGTGCTTCTCCTCTTGTATGTTAGACGGTGATTGAGCCTGATTTCGTCGCTGACCTTGAATCGGCATGTAACATGGTATATCATCTGCCATTAGCTCTTGTGGTGGCGTCGGTAAAACATAAGTGGGGCTTATTGTGCTGCTCGAGCTGCTCGAAAAAGTACCTCTATGCACACTGTAAGTAGGATCAATAATGGTTGCGACATTTGCCACTTCTTGCACATTGTCGGGGCTGTCTAACGTATGGATTTCCTCAGGATCCGAATAATGAGAATAATTGGCAGGATAACGAGTTCGATTCTTGTTTGACAGGGTCTTCAAGTCCAGTCTGTCTGGTCTTTGAGGTCGTTCCGTGAGATCCTGTTCATCTGCCTGTTGTTGCTGTTGTTGCAGACGCTCCCGCTCTAGCTTCTTCTGTTTCGCCCTTTCTCGCGCTTTACGAGCCTTTGCACGCTCCTTATCCTGAAGCATTCGTGCCAACTCAGCATCTTGCGCCTCCATCGCTAATTTTTGATCCAACATAAATTGCTCATCTTCCGGATCGTCGTGATTTTCTTCTTCTTTTTGTAGCTTTTTTGCTAATTCCTATCATACAACAAAGTTTATATTTTTATGCTAACAAACAATTATTTCTTTCTTTTCTTAAATACGACTATATAATATTTTCAAGAATTTTATTAACCACAAGATATTGTGATTACCTCATCTTTTTCTTCTTGCATACGTCTTTCAAACTCTTGCTGCATAGCTTCATCTCCCAATCTTAACTGTAATCTCATCATTTCTTGCAATTCGCGCTCTTTTTGCTTCTCTTCTCGCTCCAAAGAAAGTGCAATCTGCCTTGCGACAAGCTCATCTCTCTCTTCCCTTTGTAAAATAAAACAAAACAAATAAACAACGATATAAAAAAATCTCTATCTTTATAGAGAAATGTAAATATTACTAACTGCTGTTGAATATAAGTTTGATATTTTAGCGCTTCCAATTCCTGTTCAACTTTGGCTCGTGGCACATCTTCTCTCACCTGTGCATTACGCGTTTTGTTGCCGGTATAATGTTCCTTAACTATAAATCATAATAAAGAATCATATGTTAAAACCTTTTACTATAGATATTGATAACAGATACAAATATCTTATACTCAAAGCACTTAATCTTCCTTCCAGTATCTACATCTTATATAAAGTATTAACTTATCCATTTTTTATTTTCAACAAAAGTATATTCGTTTACATTTATATCTTTTCTTTCTCTTTAATACATTCTATGTTTTCTCTCTCTCTCTCTCTCTCTCTCTCTCTCTCTCAACATAAAAATTTTGAGACTTCCTTCAGCTGTTTAGGTTTATTTTAATTAAATTTCCTTTTTTTCCTTTTTTACATAATACCAAGTTTTTTGGATTAAAATTAATAAAACTAAGGCTCAAATAATTTATAAAATCAATATAATAAGAATAGAGATGAGAATATTTTTTGGATAAATTTTATAATTTAAATTAATGAAGAAAACTATATATTCATTCTTCTTAAGATAGGAAATTCAATCAGCATTGATTGGAATGTTCTTGAATGAATCTAATCTAACATTGCTAAGGACATACATACGTACATCTATACGACAAACATATAAGCATAAAATTTTTACATACTTTCTTCATCTTGAAGCCGATAAGCCAATGCCCCATCTTCATGTACCAACCATTCACGACATACTGCAAAATTACATGAGTACAAGTTCACATTATAAATACCAATGCAATTATGACTAATCATGACTAATTATATGGTGTGAGACATGTTTGCTCCAGAATCTTTCACTTTATTTTTTGTTGCGTTTTCTACGCTTGAATTACATATATACATATATATCTAAATATGAAAAGAAGGAAAGACTGCGTATGCGTAAGATAAAGAATCAAGCTTACAGAGAATTTCATATCTTACAAGAAAAGCAAGTGTTGAAGAAAGAAATACAAAAGTCTCACCTTCGTTTACACGACCGGCCTTTGGCAGCGTGTCCGAACTTAGCACAGATTTCGCCATTACACTTTTCTGTTTTCGTTGTAAAACTAACAGAATCACCGACGACCCAGGCTGTGTTTA